AAACAAAATCCACCTCCCACCTCCCTGTGCCCACTTCCTCCCATTCCCTCCAAATAAAAGGGGGGGGGGGAAGGCAAAGAAAAAAAAACTAAAAAACAAAAAAAACGCCCCAAACCCCCCAAAACAAGGTAGTGCATTCCCCCAGGGGATAGGGGAATTTACACTGGAGCCGCTGGGAGCGGAACGGAGATCTTCCGGCTACAGAAACCTGCAAAGAAAGACACTCAAAACAGAAAAAGAAACACAAAAGGAAACAAAATAGATCACCAGGCAATCTGGAGGAACAGGGAGCCAGAAAAGAGGGGCGGGGCGGGTGGTTGACCTGGCAGGACAGGAGCAGGCAGGAGGGTACTGTGAAAGTGAGGGAGAAGATGGAGGGAAGGTAACAAGCAGAACAGTTTGGTGTCCTTCCAGAGCCCTGGGTAAAAAAACAAAAACCAAAACCAAAACCCTCCTACCATCCATGCCCACCTACCCTTGAGCAGCCCCCAAAGGGGTGAAGTGGGACAGGGAAACAGGGGGAGCAGCTTGCGCAGTTGAGTCGAGTCCATGGCGAATCCCCAGAGTGAATGAGCAGCCCCCTGCCCCACTCCCTGGGCCTTCCCCTACTCCCCAAAGCAGGTCCCTCCTCAGCAGTTAGTTATGGAATTCTCCCCCCTTCCACAGTATATCTTTTTTTTTTTTTAAATATTTTTTCCATCAAGGTCATCTTCTGTTTTTCTTTTTTTTTTTTAATTCTTTTTTTTTCCTTCTTTCCTCTTTTTTTCCTCTCTCTCCTCCTAATACACATTTTTTTTTAGTAAGGGGAATACCATGAAGTCGCTCTAGCCCGGCCCCTGGAAGAAAGAAGGAGAGTTAGGTGTTAACATGATCACTAGATAGTTCAGTACAAGCCCCTCCCCATGGGCCCTCGCCCCAGTTACTGTGAAGGGAACGGGCAAGAAGTTTCCAAGTGTCCTAAAACTGACCCCTCGATCCCAGAAACAGTGACAACAGCCAGCAAACGGGAGGAGGGGGTGGAATTAACAAAACACTTCCCCAAACAGTGGCAATAGAGAAGTACATCTGAGACAATGGGGCAAGAAAAAGGACTCATTGTGTACAGTTTTCAATTCTTTACAGCTCTTAAACCCTAGGCCCTCATCAACATACCCTAACTCCTGGGAGCAAATAGGTAAATATCATAAAAATCCCAGGTCTACATGCCTAACTTACCTATTTAAAAAAAAAAAAAGACACAGAAATAAGGCAAAGCAACAACACGGACAGCATACTAGGCTTAGTGAGAAAAGAAACCCTGCAAAAGACTGACTCAGTGAAAGAGTAAATTATCTCAATATCCTCCCACCTGGCTGATAAGAATGATCTACTAGTCTCTAATATTCTTCCAAGGGATACTCAAATGTCAACCCCCTGCTAACTCTAGGAAAAGTAAAAAATGTCCAAGCAGCACTTTCACTGCTCTGAGGCCCTCTTCTTCCAGACCTGTGTAAACACATTCACTGCCACCAACTCTCAAGGAAAATAAGGCTGAAAAAGAAGCATCTCTCAGAACAGAGTGGAGAGATCCAGCCCTTATCACCAATTCCTGCTCCAGAAAAAGATGTCGAGATTGGCCTCCTGGCCTGCAACTACCTTCCTCACCCTGCACAGGCAGAAGACCAAGTCCCTGGAGACCAAGGGGAGGGTTAGGGAGGGAGATTCCTCAGATCAGGAGAGAAGGAAGCATATAGGGCTCATGGGAGGCGGGGGAGAGGAGCAGCCCATCTATCCTGACCTGTAGACGCGCCCCCGGGGCCTGCTGTTAAAACCACTGTAGAATCGAGATCGGGAACTGTTGTAGTTAGTGGTCCGGGCACGGTATCTGGCTCGTGGGAAACCTCGGTCTGTTGTGCTGATGCCTGGTCTGTTGGTTCGTTTGGGGATCACCTGTGAGTGAGGGATATACAACAGAACTTTAGTCAACCTGGAGAATTTACATAGAACCGAAAACAGCAACGAGCACGAAGCTTACCTTGATTTGTCTTCCTCTAAATAGGGACTCATCTAAGGCCAGGGAAGTCCTCACCGACTCTTTGTCTGAAAACTCTATATATGCAAACCTGGAAAAAGTGTCACTTTAGCTACTTGAGATTACAAACAGTAGCTCACAGGTCAAACCCAACTTGCAGACATGCTTTAAGTACAATGTGTTCACGTTTTAAATTCGTGGTCCCAAAAATGTTGTTAATGAAAAACTTTTAATTTCCAGCTACTCTTGGAAAATAATAAAACAGGATATATGGGGACTAAATTTCCATGTGACAGAACCAGGCAGGGCCAAATGAAAGCTGCCCCTTCCCTGAAATCTATTCCTAGACTTCATCTGTGTTTTGTCTGGCCTCTGAAAGCATTTTTGTGCAACCCCTGATATGCAGGGTTGAGCAAAAGTAGGTTTACAGTTGCGAGTACATGAAATAGTTTATTCTTATGTTTTTTCATATAACCCACTGTAAACCGACTTTTGCCTAGCCCTGTGTATCAATGTTAATGCCTTATTTTAAAAGACAAAGACAACTTGTTTTAGATACCAAGTGAACTAGGAGCTCAATATGAAAAATTTGTTCTTAAACTGTGATTAATATAACTTCAACTTACTTCCATACTTACCCTTTGGGATGGCCACTAAATTTGTCACAGAGTATGGTAACACGGTTAACTGAACCACAGCCATGAAAGTGAGCTTCCAGCTCTTCTGCTGTTGCACCATAGTCCACCTGTGGGGGTATATACATGTATGTGGGGGGGGGTACATTTTAAAGATACTGGACAAACTCCTACCTTAACAGATACCCTGCTTAGCCTTTGGGCTAGGCCACCCACATCGTATAGACTAAGGCACACCAAATCTGGTTCTCTAAGGAAATAATATCTTTTTTCTTTCCAAACCCAGAGCCTCTGCTGATTACCATTAACTTTCACTTCCTCCCAACCATCCCTTCACATCCCAAATCCACCACCTATTCTAGAGATACCCTTTCAAGACTCCTGTTAAATAATCCCTTGAAATAAGAGCTTCCACCAACCCCAATCTGGGCCCTAGTACATACATTGCCAACATAGATGGAACGGGCATCAGCCTCCATCTTCTCCTCAATAGACATGATCACTGGACCAGCTTGGGGGAAAAATAAGAAACAGTCACCATTACCTAGAATAGTGTTTAGCATACAGTAGATACTAATTAAAACAAATTAAGCAGATTAATACATTTTAAAAAGGAAAGAAAAAAACAATACCGAAATCCCTTCCCAAATCAAGTCCCTACTGAATAGCTTCGGTTGAAATGATTTGAAAAGTGAACACAATTAAGTGGGCTGAAACCTGACATTTCTACATTAAAGGGGAACCCTCTGCAGCTGGGCAGTTTCTCTCAGGACTTCTAACTAAGGGTCTTCAACTTAAGGAAGAACTATTAGACTTGAAGGTCAAATGCCAGCTGGCAATCTCTACAAAGGATATAGACTAAGAACAAAGAGAAACATTTTTATAACACGAACAAAGGGAGGCACAAGACTACCTCACCAAAACGTTGCTCTGTCTCACAAAGGTCAGAGGACTGACTACACAATGGATTATGACCGCGGCACCCGACCAGTAATTGCTCAGACAAGCAGCTCCAAGGTCCAAGCACCTAATCCCATATAACCCGTGCTCCCACGACTCTTCCAATCCCGCTACCCTGGCTCTGCGTGCAACCGCCAGTTACTCACCATTGCCTGGAGGTGGACTCATATTCATCTGCTTCTCTACCTCGTTCTGTAGCTCCTTTAGCTTTTCCGCTTCTTCCTCCATTTCCCTGACTCGAGCTTTGATCGCTTCCAGCTCCTACAATGAGCGGGGGAGGTATGGAGAAGAGCTTAAGAGGAACTACCGCAGGGGCTCTGCCCCTGCACTCGCACCGCGTGCGGCCCCAGCCATGCTCGACCATTTCCCTCACACCATGCGAGGATCATTGTGAGAAAAAATGCAAGCTACCTTCTGTAGAACGCTAGACACCCATGATGCCCGAATCAACCCCGCTGGGCCTCCCCAGGCGGTCGAGGATCCAGGCCCGGCCCCAGCCACGTTATTCCCCGCCCACCCGCACCCCCGCCTGCCTCCCGCTAGCCTGAGCTCCGGGCCTCCCGTGACCCGGCCGGTTGGCGCCCAGCTCGTTCGCCCTCCTTCCCTCACCGGGTCTTCAATGGCGCCGTCCCCCGGGTCACCCTCGACCAGTCCCGACTCCTCCTCCTCCTCCTGACTGCCAGGGACTCCCGAGCCAGGCCCGGGGCCCGAAGCTCCCGGTGGGGCGCGGGGCCGGGGCGGCTCCTCTTCAGGCTCGGGCTCCGGCTCGGGTTCAAGCAGCAGCTCCTCAGGCTCCAGTTCCTCAGACTCCAGGCCGTTCCCGTAGTCCCCTGCGCCCCCCGGGGCCCCCTCCCCGGCCTCCCCACCGGCCCCGGGCACAAGATGGCGCCGCCGCCCCGGCCCGGAGCCCCGACCGCCCGCAGCCCCCGCTGCCGCTGCCGCCGCCGCCGCCGCCGCCATCGCCGCTCAGACTGGGGCCCGCCGCCCAGCGATTGGAGAGCTGCGCGGGCTACGCCAACGACTCATTAGTCAAGCAGCCTGCCCGTCACCATGAGCTAGGACTTCATTGGGGAATATTACCTGGCAATCAAATAAGACCCCTCCCCTGAGGCGGGAATATTGCGCCAAATTCTTAGATCCCGATAGGTGAAGTCGGCCTGTCAATCAACCACGTCCCACCTCTTCTCAAGTCCTTAGGTAACAATACCGCCGCGCTGTGACGACAATCCTATTTCTCTTGTCTAAGGGCGGGTCCGCGAAGTATATGACACTCCGTGATTGGCCGTTGACTAGACCAATCTTCCGATTGCCTTGCTGCAGTGGTCCAGTCTCAGATGTCGATTGGCTCGTGAAGGATTGACGTTTTTGTGACAGTTGAACCTTGCCCCCCGACAGCCTGCCGGGCTTATAGCAAGGGAAAACCGAGGTCACATGACTAGTGTCAAGGTGGCCGCCATCTTGATACTACTGGTTGCCAACTGGTGAGCTGTTGGAAAGCAGAAGCCAGAAACATAACGGCGGTTTCTGGAAACTGTTCTCCTAACCAGAGAAGAACCAGTAGATGGTAGGTTGCTGGAAATGGAGCGTCCCGAATGGAGCTCCCCGGGAAGAAGCTTACTTTTCCCATTCAAGTTATTGGTACTACCACCCACCGGGTCTTCCAAACCAGAAAGCAGGAAGGAATCCTCATTCCTGAGCTACCAGGCACGAATCCTGTACGTTCTTCCTACAGAGGTATATTTTTCCAAGCCCTCTGCGCGTGCCCCCCTCTGCGCATGTTCCTTCTCTTGCTTGGATCGTTTGCTAGGGCCCCTTAATGGGTCTCTCAGCATCCAACGTTGCCCCTCCAGTCCATACACCACTCCCAGACTGAGTTTGCTGTCCAGTTAGTCTCAAAACTCCTTACTGTGGCTTAGAGACCTCAGGACTAGGCTACTTTGCAAATGTTACTTCCGCACTCGTTCGAGAGTGTACCTGCACCCATCACTGCCTCTTTACATGCAGTCCCCCTTCAACAAGACGTCGCAAACTTCAGCATCACCTCTCTTGAAAAGCCTTCTACTAGCCTCCCTTCCTCTCCCGTGATAAGTGGGCCTACTTCACTGTGCGCTTAATCATTTTGTGCTGCATCTCCTAACTAGGTTGTGAGAGCTTGGAGGTAAGAGGCTGCTGGATCCTATTTATATTTGCATCTCCACTGTGGGGCAATGTGCCTAGATATAGTTAAGTGTCCAATAATGTTTGCTGAGCAAAGGATGCATTGACTGGGGACCTGGATACCACCCGTCATCTTCAGTGCTTTCTCAGCCCCCAAGCCCTCCTTCTGATTCCAGAGGAGTTTCTATAGTCAGGTTCCCAGCACACCATTGTACTCGAAGATACCAATAATACCTACTCCTGGAAAGCAGGCTTGCCTTGTTTTAGTAGTGATTCTATGCATTTATTAAAAAGGAACGAACGGCGGTGCTACGTCTGCAAGAGGGTGATTGTAGCCAAACCATGCTATGGTTTGAGCCAGATTAACACGAGTCCAACTAAATGGTTAAACAAGGCCAACAGGATGTGCATGGGTGGAGCAGAGGGATTTGGATTACAGGAGATCCCTATTTGCAAATCCAAAAGCTTCTCAGTAAACCTGTTCTTCCCCCCTCACCCTCACTTTTTCTCACAAATCCTTACTTCAGGAACAGGGGAATTTGGTGCCAAGTCACAGCCGCTTAAAATTTCACTGAAAATTACTTCATCAGACAGCTTCAGTGGTCTGGAAGAGCTAAATTGAGCACGGAAGACAAGCTCCAAAAGGTTGTGGGTTCGTTGAAAGAAAAAAACTTTTAAGATTTTAAAAGTTTTTTAAAAAATATAAATAACAAATATTTTTATATTTTTAGATAGGAGGAGAGGAACATCGTTTGGTTGCTTCTCCTACCCGCCCTTACGTGGGACGGAACTGCAACCCACGCATATGCCCTGACTGGAATGAAGCCAGCGTCCTTGAACTTTGAGGAAAGCTGCTCAATGAACTGAGCCACACTAGTCAGGGCAGAAAAATCTTTTTACTATAATCAAGATTTGGATATTTTATTGGAATGTAGTTTAAGCAAACCAATTAAGGAAAATGTGATTTTTAAAAAATGCCTTGAATCCTAAGTTTGTTGAGCACTTGATTTTGTAACAGGCACTATTTAAGCCTCCTTACTATATTATCTCCTTGCAACCCTATGAAGTATTTCTAAAACCATAACCTTTTTTAGGGTTGAGGAAAAAGTGAAGTAAGTTGCCTAAGTCATGGAACTAATTAGAAGTGGACAGGGAATTCAAAGCCAACTTTTTTTTAAAGATTCTTTTTTTAAAATATTTTATTTATTTTTAGAGAGAGAGAAGGGAAGGAAGAAGAGAGAGAGAGAAACATCAGTATGTGGTTGCCTCTTGCGCATCCTGAACTGGGAATCTGGCCTGCAACCCAGGCATGTGCCCTGACTGGGAATCAAACAGGTGACCCTTTGGGTTCACAGGCCTGCGCTCAATCCACTGAGTCACACCAGCCAGGGCCAAAGCCATCTGTCAAAGCTCAGATTGATAGAAATTACTGTAAGGTCTGTTTTAAAACACAAAGATTACATTATGTATGATGCTGAAATTGGGGGAAAAAGATTATGCATCTGTTAAAAGGTTTATACATAGTGTGTGGTAACATGCAAAAAAGTTGTTAGTCCAAAAACTAGAATATAAAATTATATAGAAAGAATGATTAAAACAATTATATCTTCTTTAAGAAAAAAAAAACCTGGACATGGGAGGGGGAAGGAACAAGAACCACTAGAGTCTCATCTTTGGCATCATGTACCTAAAGCTTTTAAAATGTTAGTAATTGTATATCTTATGATCAGTTTGAAAGAAATAATCTAAAAACTGGAAAAATATTTGAGGAGGAGTATGACCTTATGTATACAGTATGATCATAAATATAAGCATGGATAAAAATGGGAAAGAAATATGCCAAAATGTAGTGGTTCTCTCTGGGTAGTAGGATTATGATTGATCTTCTTTATAATTTTCTATGTTCTACAATTTTTCCATGTTATTTTTATTTAAATTTTAAAAAATACTTCCAACTTCCAAACTTACTCTTATAAGCATGATTATTTTTACAAACACATTTAAAAAGATGTTTGAATGGTGACTTGTAAAGATACTACCCTATTAGAAGGCATGGACACCATCCTACTGATATTTGCCCATTGCCTACCACAGCATGCTCAGTAAGTGCTAACTGAATGAATCATCCTCTGTAATAATCTGATGTAGTATCTTGCCTGTTATTGATGTATAGAGAACATGAAAGAGATGTTTCCCTCTGAGAATGAATTTTTTAAAATTAGTGTGTAGTGATGTGAGGTTCACCCATCTCAGTGTAATTTTCCTTCAGTTATAACCTGTCAACAGACGCTGTGGAAATTTGGGAAAACTGAAAGTCGGTGATGTGCCCTAGAATAAAAAATGTGTTAATAGAAGTGAATGGTCAGTGCAGTTGAGAAAAGAATTAAATCAATAACATGGATGAGGGCATCTCCAGTTTTGTCCAGAAAAGAACAGTTTTCCCACTGAACATAAATATTTGGCTTCTTGGTAGTTTCATGCCTGTTTTTGACTCCTGCTTTGAAATTTTTACTGACTACAATAATTCTCTATAATCTAGAACTGCACTGTTTAATATGGTAGTCACATATTGCTACTGAGCACTTCAAACGAGTAATCCAAATTACGTGCTGGAAGTATCAAATATACACCAGATTTCAATGACTTAGTATGAAAAAACAACTGTAAAATAACGTGTTTAATACTAATTATAGGTTAAAATTATATATTAAGTTAAATAAAATATTATTAAAATTAGTTGCGCCATGGCTGGTGTGGGTCGGTGGTTTGAGCACCAGCCTGTGAACCAAGGGGTCACCAGTTCAATTCCCAGTCAGGGCACTTGCCTGGTTTGTGTGGGCCAGGTCCCCCGTTAGGACATGTGAGGGGCAACCACACATTGATGTTTCTCTCCCTCTCTTTCTCCTTCCCTTCCCCTCTGTAAAAATAAATAAATAAAATCTTTAAAAAATTAAAATAAAATAATTTTATCTTTTTTTTTCTTTTTGCTTTTTTATGAGGTTACTGTAAAATGTAAAACCACATATGTGGCTTGCATTATATTGATATGGGATGGTGTGGATAGATACAAAACCTTGAAGCCCATTTATTCACTCTATTTTGGAGCAGACTCCAATTCTTTCTAATCAAATTCTGGCCCTACCTACTTTAACTCCCTACGGTCTGCCACTGTATGGATGTAGGGTAGCCATTTAAATGAGAAGGAACCTCTGTTGCACTGCTTAATTTTCATTCTGCTTGGTTAAAATCTTTGTACCTGAAACACGTGATTTAATATACTATACCAGAGATATGTATTCCTTATCAAAAAATCAGAAAATAGTAATAAAGCAAAAAGAATAAAGCAAAATCACCCATAAAATCATCATCCTGAGATAATCACTACCAACATTTCGATGTATACTTAGTACCCTTCCTGAAATTTTCAACACAAAAATACGTAGAGCCACAGGCACACATTTATTTATTTATTTATTTATTTATTTATTTATTTATTTATTTATTTATTGGGGGGGATTTATATATTATTTTCTAATCTATTTTTATCTAATAAGATATGGAAACATCTCTCCACATCAATAAAAATATTTTTCCAATTTCATTTTCCAAGACTTTACGTAAAAGTTACCTTAGAAATGAGGGCTGCCCTGGCTGGTGTGGCTCAGTGGATTGAGTGCCAGCCTTTGAACTGAAAGGTTGTGGGTTCCATTCCCAGTCAGGGCACGTGACTGGGTTGCAGGCCAGGTCCCCAGTTCGGGGCATGCAACAGGCAGCCTATCAATGTATCTCTAACACATTAATGTTTGTCTCCCTCTTTCTCCCTCCCTTACCCTCTCTCTAAAAATAAAATCTTTTTAAAGAAATGAGGCCTTCACTGACCACTCTACTATACGTTGAAATCTATATATACGTATATCTTCCAATCCTTTGCTAATGAATTATTTTTCTTCATAGCATTTGTCACCTAACATGAAATGTTATGTTAGTGAATACTATGACATTTATTATTTCTCTTACTAGAATGTAAGTATCATGAAGGCAGAAATCTGTGCCTCTTTGTTCTCTTTAACTCAGTGACTACAACTGTGCTTAGCACACAGAAGATGCTTAAATGTTTGCTGCATGAATGACTGAATGAATAACTGTATAGCATTTCATCTTATTAGGTTTTTGGTTAATTTTTAAAATACTGTTATTTATATTTTGCCTGTATCCACATTTAAGGCAGCTTTGAAAGCTTTCAAAGGATGTGGTCTTAAGTAAAAACACAAAATATCTACAATCCATCAATTTGCTAAAAATGTTAACTATTACTTAACTTTTATCAAAAGTGTCATTTGGGGAAATAACATTTACAGAAAACTCTCTGAAGGATAAACAATCCATTTGCCCATTTAGATAGTCTAAAATTTAGCCCTATGTTAAACTATAGCAACACAGAGCATACTTGAGCTAAACTGAGATGATCCTGATAGAACTAGCTTAGCACCTACTGAAGCCCCACTTGGTGTTTCTATAAGAAAAAATGGTGCAAAACTCAATGTATTTCCTCTCAGGTATTATAGATGGTGGTGTCCTCTATATCACTCAGTGTCTTCTCAGAAGAGCCACAAAACTTTCCCCATCTTGGGAATTGATAGGCTTTTATAAATCCTAAGAGGTACGTGAATTTCATTATGTTTTCTCATTTGCTTTAGCTTCCAAGAAGTCAGAACTGAATTCACCAAACTTTAGTATTTGGAAAAACTGCTTATAGAATTCCTTTCTGTGCATTAATTTTTATTTTGCTTTCATTTTATTGTAATATTTCAATTTTTCCCTACTTTAAAAAATCTGTATTTTCCTGTTTTGTCTTTTGAATATTCTAGATGTTGCAAATGCTTTTTGGCAAATATCAATCAATCAGTCATTAAACCAATAAAAGGACGGTGGAGATAAATGCATTAGCTCTTACAGCCTGATATTAACTACTAAGAGCATCTAAATCCCCTTTCCCCTAGTGCTATGTTCATTAAGCCACTCTTGGATTTTAAGATGGCCTGCCCTGTATATTTTTTTAGAGAATGGAAACACAACCCTGGATTCCTCTAAGCAGTATATTTCTCACTGCAATTTAATGCATAAACCCAAATGCCATTTTATTGTACTGGATTATAGAAAGAGTAGAAAATTCCTGATTGTAATTTAAAATTAGGATCACTATTTTTGTCAGACATCATTTTGATGTGGTCCTAGACTAGAGCTACAGAAGGATGGGCTGAATAATTCCTGTAATTTCCATCCAACTTAGCAGTTTGCATTAAAATATCTGAAACCAAATGTCTCAGGGGACCAAGAAAGGAAGCAGGGACTCCATTTTTGCCAGACTTATTTTAAGTCTGAAGTAGGCAGCAGAGTGTAGTGAGGAGATATGCTCATTATCACACTTCTGATTAGAGGTGACACCATGACTGGGGACTTGATTATCATCACACAAAGATTTTTGGTTCATTTTCTTTTGGCTCTTCTTTGCGACCATCCCAAAGTACCACACACACACACCCTCTTAAGGCTTGGGCTGCCTCAGATGGAGTTCTTGGCTTTGGGCATTTGGCTGAGGTTGGGGGCAGGGGTAGGAGAACAATTCTGAGTTTCTTTTTTTAATCTCAACACCTTCCAAAATCTCTATTACTCTTAATTCTCGCCTTTAACAAGGGCAAGAAGAGATGATTGGATCAAGAAATATCCTGACCCCAAGCTATACAGTGTAGAAGTCACAAATCCTGTTCAGTGCTTCTCATTAAACTTCTGGGCTTTATTTATTTATTTATTTATTTGTTCATTTATTCATTTATTTATTTTTAATACGACCATTACATATTACACAAAAATAAAAGTCAAATGAACTTGGTATTTATAAATTATTAAATAAAAATACAGGAATATATATTTATATTTATAGAGCTTTTTCTTTTCTTCTAAACTAACCAAATCTGTTCTCCCGCCATTTTATGATTTAAAAAAGTAAAATAGTGTATGCCCTAGAATAAGTGGGGGGTGGGCTTAATAATCACAGGACCCAGTTGCCCTACTTCTGCTCCTTCCTTGGCCTAAGCATGTCCCTATTTGTCCCTTTGGGCTCTGGAGAGAAGGAAACACCCTCTCCACCTATTAAATTGCTGAAAACTGGCAATTAGATATATTTACCTTTTTTTGTTTTAAAGGAAATGGATATAAAAATTGGGAGCCATACTCAGCCTTCCTGGCCAAGAGCTAATCCCAAGGAACTATATGGCTCTAGAAGAGAGTCTCTACTTTTCCCTGATGGAAGAGTCTCGGGGGTTTCCATTGCCCCTCAAGCTAACAAGGGCAGGATAGTTCAAAACAGCCCACTGTGGTCCCATCTAAGCTATGCTTCCAGGAATCCAGACTAAGCCCCTTACACTTTCAGAAAACAGCCCCTTCTTCCACCCAGGTGTGAAGGCCTCAGAGCAGGGCATTTCGGTAACTGTGGTCCCTGCCGCCCTGTTTGCTAAAGGCCCCCTAGAAGAGCTAACAGGGATAGGCGTCCTGTGGTAGAGGGTAGGGTGATGAGTCTGCCCCAAACCTGGGAGAGCACAGGCTCCAATTTGGAGCTGATGGTCTAGTCAGTGGTTTTCCAACTTTTTTCAGCAGCAATCCCCTTAATGCAAATAAAATCTTACCCTGAACCCCGATATAAAGACAGCTACAACGAGAGCTGTTCTGCTTGAGGGCAAGTAGCCCAGCCTGCTCAGCACCCCCCCCTTTACCTTCATCTCCCCCTAGGACTCCTGAGGCAACCCCTAGGAAACTGGGGATCTGCCAAGCAGATTGAAAACCACTGGCCTAGTTTGTCCTGAGCAAGTCAGAGACCCCCCCACCCCCACCCCAACTGCCTGCCACAGAGCAGCTCTGAGTTTCCAGTATCAGCATACTCACTCATGACAGACCAAGTGGCACATGCAGCCTACCACCTCCCCCGTAAATACCATTAAAAAGTGCAGCCCTCTCTCAAGCACAAAAGTCTGGGCTAAACACCTGAGGCCAATTTAGGTCCCACATTCTAGTGAGTACAACTATGTTGCCACCTTCTGGGACCAAGTGAAAAATCTCCAAGAAGAGTCAACCATGGTCTAACTAAGCTGATCAGTGCTCATGATCAAGGGCAGGGTTCTAGAGCACTGTCTGAAGAAGTCAGCATTGGAGAGCAGCAATTTTAGCACCTTAGAAAGTGCAGCAGTGAGGTCTGGCTCAGGGCATGCATTTGGAGTGAAATCATTTCTTTCTCAAAAGAAAAGCTGTAATCTGAATCTGTTCTAGAGGACTGTGAGCTCTAAGGTTAACATTCGCAGACTCTGAGATACAGAGAAGTAACACCCATGCAAACAGCGTGGCTTCAATGAAAACATAAATGCTTCCGGATCATGGTAGGTATTCTAGAACCCATACATCTGACTCTTGATAAAGCAGCACCAAAGCCCACCACACGGAACAGGCCAGTCATGGAATACATGTCACCCTCACACCCATGGGGTTCAGAGCTGGAATGTTCCTCTCAAGGCATCAACAGTCTCACTAAGACATAGTGCAGGACTCACACTGTATTCTAGATCAGCATTTACGTCCACACTCAAAAGGAAAATTAGAGCTCCAATTTAGAGTTTAAGTTTGGGTACAGAAGGTCCCAGAGATAGGGAACACTTTAGGCACCAGTGTGCTTCAGTGGGAGAAGAAGGCAGCAGGCAAGTCCAGCTACCAGAGCTTCTACCCACTGCAGGCTCAACAGCCCTGCCTTTCTGCCAGAGCCCAGGAGGCAGCAGCAAGTGCGTGATGCACAAGGAAGGAGGACCGTGAAAGAACAAGGCCAGCTACAGAACTGCTCTTCTCTCCAAAACCCTACTAATGATTTTCTGCAGAGAAGTGCCCAAAGCCCTCACCTGGATACAGTGTTTCTCCCTCAGCCTTGAGGCACCAGGACAAGAGGAGGAGGGAGGAGGGGGTTGGGAGGAAAGCAGAGAACTGCCCCTTGTTCTTGCCACTGCAAGAGGGAATGTTTTCTCGTTAAAGACTCCCACTGCCACCAGATTAGACAAGCAGCCCAGCATGCACATGAGCACGCGTGCACATGCACACGCACATCCAAGCAGCCCATTGTCACCGCCACCTCTCCCTATCACCCGAGAATCCAAGCTTCCATTCAAAAGCATGTGCCTTCTGTGTTTTCCCCCAAATCCACTCATCCAATGGAGACGCCAACCCCTTATGCAAGTCCACCTTCTTCAGGGCTGCACACGGAGCTCCAGCTAATTTCCTGTGCCTATACCTAGAGGCATGATTCCTCCCACCTCCCCCCAATCTGGGAATGACTCCATCTCCTGACCCCCTGACTTTCCTAATACATTCCCCAAGGTCTCCAGTTCACTCACTCTTCCAGCTGCATGCCTGGCACACTCAGCTCCCTCACACACTATCCCTGCCCCTTCCCATCCCTGCTCCATACCAATCCATCCATTCACCCCACTTCTTTCCAGGGCATTTCTCTGTTCTGTTCCTGCTCGCCTGTCCTCCAGCCACACCTATCCCCACCTGGCCTTGGACTTTCTCACTTGCTAGCAAAAAAGGCCCCTACAGTTACCAGGGCCCCCAGTGCCACGGCCCCTGTCAGCACTGTCCTCACTGAGGCCCAGTTCCCCTCCCGCAGGCGCCGAGCCTCCTCCAGGGCCCCGTCCCCGTATAGAGCTGTGAACTCCGCCTGTGGGAGAGAAGGGAAGTAGGAGAGAAAGAAGGAGAAAGGGATATCAGGAGAGGAAAGAGCAGAGAAAAGAGGAAAGGAAGTGTTCCAGTACCATCCATTGCAAGCACTAGCCCACACCTAGCCCCTCTCCGGCCACGACTGGCTGCAATCCCCCCTCACCCACCATGAGCACCTGGCTCATCTGCCTTCCCTGCCTAGAGTGAATCCCTTCCTTTGCTTGGCTAAAAATGCTGCTCAGAACAGACACCCTTTGCTAAGGCTTGCCTGACCTCCACCCACCCCTGATTCCTGCCCCCATGCCACATACTCAAGTGTAAAATGTTCCTGACAACTGGATGCCACTTCCCTGTTGGCACTCCCATAGGTAGTGTGGATTCTGACCTCTGCTTTAGACCATGAGCCCATCCAGTGATGACTGCATGGCAGCCCTGGAGTGCAGAGTCCAGCATGATGCCCACAGAGCAGGCACCTGATTCCACCCACATAGGTAGTCTCAGCCCCCATGCCTCATTCATTCTCAGCCAAAGCCCCCCTTCCCTTGGAGACCAGCTTTGCAGAGGGATGTGCAGAGCAGCAATTGAGAAGCTTCTTACCCAGCCCCCACTGCTGTGGATCCAGTCTGCCAGCCGTGTCTCCAGGTAGGCCACCATCCACTCCTGCACTTGTCCCACAAGTGGCTCCATCTCCTTGTTGACACTCTCAGCACACAGAGCAGCTCCAAAGACAAAGAAGGCCACAAGGCGGCCCCAGTTGGGGCCCCCTTGGAAGAGTTCATCAGAGACCTGGGTGAAGCGTTGCTGGGCTGAGCCCGGGGTCACATGCAGCTGAGCCGCCAGATCAGAGAAGGTTCGACGGAAGCGGGTCTCAAACTCATCTCCAGCTGCCCGCATGGCTTGGTGCAACGGGTCAGCTGCTGGGCCCTCCCCAGGGCCGGCTCCGCAAACATAACCCTTTTGCCTCAGCTTATAGCCTACAAAGTCTGCCACTAGAGCCCGGGTGTCTGGGGCCGAGGCTGGGGTCGCCATCCGGGCGGCTGTAACAGTCAAGGATGAAAGACTGGCATGAATATAACATGGTCAGAGACCCAGGATGGGGCATTTCAGGTTTGGCCAACCCAGTGAGACAGGGAAGTGGGAGAGAACGCTCAGAGGCCACTAGGCAGGGAGAGGCAAGAACAAGAAAATTAAGTTATGTGAGGGTATGAGGGGGCTGGCCATTAAATTTGTAATATGCTGAATTAAATGTAAACAGGTAAATTTAAAACTACTTTAGGTTTTTCTCATAATAAGACAACAACAGTTCTATGACACCCCTACAAACCCCCTCTGCACAGTGCACACCTTTTGGCAAGAGAAGAGGCTTAGGACCTCCCCAGAGATAAGATGCGAAGACGCTAGCAGAGGTACAAGATGGGGGAGGAGATAGGGGCTGAAGGGAAAGGTGGGGGGGGGGGAAGCAAAGGGTTGCCAGGGACAGAGAAGGAAGGGCACACTCACCCAGCCTGGATGGCAGCTCTTAGGACCCAGCGCTGGTGGCGAGGAGCCCCCGGCCGGAGCCTTTCATCCTCTTGGCCAGCGTGGAGCCCTGGGAAGGGGAGGAGGAGATCTGAGCTAGGCAGGCAAAGAAGGCCAGGCAGGGATCAGGGTCTGGGCTGAGAAAGGCTGGGGTTGCAGCTCCCAGGACCGGGCCCCTGCCCCCAACGCTCTACCAGCTGTGTGGCCGAATCCATGTTTAATGACTGTCCTCACGGGAAACCAAGGGCCAAGGGCTTTCTACCGACCATCTCTACTCCCGGCTCCCCTCTAGTGCAGCCCAAAGGCCCAGCTCCTCCCTCACCCCCACCCTCAGCTAGTCTCCAATCCCTCCCGCCTGCCAGGTTAGGGATCTCACGGGTCAGGCGCGCTGCCGGGATCCAGGCCGTTTCCTGGTGCAGGAGCTGGGAGGGAGGGAGAGAGAGAGGAAGGGAGGGAAGGAAAGAGGGAGGGAGGGAGGGAGGAGAAGGGGGGGGCGGGAGGGAGGGCCCGGCGCCTGGTGATGATGGGGCCCAGAGATGCGTCCAGAGAGAGAGGCGGGGCTGGGACGCAAGCTTGGGAAGGGCCACAACTGGGGAAGAGAGGGTTGCTGGAGGCCAAGAGGAGCAAGGCGGAGAAGGCACCGAGGGCTGGCCTGGGTCCTGACCCTGGAAGCTGCCCAGAGAAGCAGCCTGGGCCTCAGCAAACCTCAGAGCAAATTCAGCATTTGCAGAAGTCTCTGATGTTCCACACACTTGTTGAACTTTTCTGGCCTTGGAGTGGGTACCTGGAAAAGAGAAGCAGTTCCCGTACCAGTGGGAACTACTTACCTGCCAGGTGCCTCTCCCTGTGAGAATGACAGGCAGAACATGGACACCACACATTTCACTTCCTCTTTTTTCCAGGACCTTTCTCCTAGTGGTCTGTGGGCTGGAGCTTTAGCTAGGCATCGGGGAGCCAGAACTTGGATCGCAAAGAATTTCTGCAGGTAACTAACCTTTCGTTTCTTCTTTTTGTAATCAGATTGGTTTTCTTTTTTAATTCTTTTTACCCAACACATGAAGTTATTTTGATTATGAGAAAGTCAAACAGTATAGAGGTATAGAGAAAAAAAATACAAGTCCTCAGTCTCCCTCCCTGGGCCCCTCCCACAATTCCTCCTTCCTTCCTGGAGGTTGCCAATCAAGATTGATGTTTATCCTTTCAGATTACATTTATGTTCATATTTATGTGTGTATATTATTTATACATGGCAGTACATTTACACCAGGCAGTTTACAGGATGTAAAGCCACCTGACCACGCTCTCTGGCAATCCCGATGGGCCCACCCAGTCTTGCAGCTCACGCTTCCTTCTGCTCCATTTGGAGAGATCTCCAACCAAAAACCAGAACGAGGTAGCCCAATTCTCCTTTCCTGGTTCCATTTCCTTCTCCCTTTAGACCAAGCCTTGGTATTCCCATCTGCCCCCTATGGCCACTGGACAAGCAAGGTCTTTTCTGTAACAATAATAGTAACAACTAACACATTTTGAAGACTTACTAGATGCTAAGTGCTTTCTTTATTTGTGTGATTATTTTATCCTCACACCAGTCCTTACTTTGTTTTATCCTCATTCGATGAATGGGAAAGCGAGGCTTGGAGAGGTTAAGTCATTTACTGAACAACTGGGACTCAATCTAATTCTGACTTGAAAGCTTGTCTCAACACTGTATTGCTTCGAGGTCCCGCTTCACTGCAGGTCATCAATGCTGTTATCATGCTATTTACAAGTCCAAACTGATTCCATACCGTTTGTAAGCCCCAACTCAGTTCTCCCAGTATTCCCAATGCACAGCTTATTCTACTCCTTTATAACTGTATCCTTTCAACCACCCTCATTGCTTCTTTGCTCTTGGGCTGATCATTCACCTGCTACCAGCAAGGTTGCTTCCTTCTTTTAAGAATAACCTAGTCTAGTCCTTCATTTGCAATCCTGACTTCTTCTAAAACATGTGCTTAATATGAAAACGTTCTTAAGTTTCAGGATCCAAATATATTTCTGTCTGCTGCCCATTTATTTGTAAGCTCTTTGAGAGCAGGAAATGAATTTTATTTACTTTTATGTCCTCAAAAACTAACAGACTCTCAGTAAATGTTGATTGAATGAATGAATCACTCCATGCCTCTGACCAGTTACTGAGCAGGCCCAGTCAGATGTTTGAAAATAACTGCAGTAGATGGCGAAGAAACAAAGGCTTGTTTGGAATAAAGGTTCAGTGTCAGTCTGAGCAGCCAAGAGAACAGAGCTGCTGGACCAGCACGAATTATACGAGGCCCAAAGCTCTGTACCTCAAGAATCTTCTCAAACTAACACTACACAGCCAAGGAATGGAAGCTCAAACTGTAGACAAGGCAAGAGAGCTTTTATCAGAAAACCTCGGGCCATGTAGGATAACCTTGCAGTTATTTATTCCATTAATGATATATTTCACCAGAGCAAGGAAGACCATTTTAAACGGGTTGACTGGCCCTGGCTGGGATGGTTCAATGGACTGAGCACTGGCCTTTGAACCATAGGGTCACTGGTTTGAGTTCCAGTCTAGGGCACATGCCTGGGTTATGGGCCAAGTCCCCAGTAAGGAGCATTTGAGAGACAAACACACATTCATATTTCTCTCCCTCCATTCTTCTAAAAATTGGTAAAATCTTTAAAAAGAATCAAATTAGTTGACAGTAAAACAAGTTAGTAGAACATTATTTTACAGCAAAATATGAAAAAAAGTTGTCCATGGATTTATATATACATATATTAAATAAGAAAGCAAATCTCAGTGTCACTTTAAAAATTAGTCTGGCTAAATAGCATTGCTGTGCTTAATACAACAGCACTGCTGGAGTTAAAATGCAAACAGGAATGAATTGTACAATAGTAAGATAGTATATGTCCACTGTTTATTTCCAATTTGGTCACTTGGGATGTTACAGTTACACTCTCCTGCTGCTTTAAATTTAGAGATTCCATTTCTATTCTAAGAGTCTCCATTTCTAAAGATGTTAACTATATTACAACTAAGCATTTTAATCCTATATAATCTTATACAAGAGAGTGCACTCTAGAGCCAGACTGCTGAGGTTCTCATCCAAGCTCCCCAGTTATTACCTATGTGATCCTGGGCAAGAGTCCTAGCTCTTCTCTCCGTCCATTTTTCTCATTTGTAAAATAGCCATCCGTAATAATACTCTGCTCCTATGATAGCTATGAGTTAATGTTTTTAAACTCTTACAGCCATAGCACATTGTAAGTGCTATATGTAAGATAAGTAGATAAGCTGGGGAAAAACTAAATAAAACTTGACATGTTTTTCTAACAGAAAAAAAAATGAAGAAAAACGCCAGTTCTGTGCCCTTTTTGGAAGTTCCCACTGGAACTAGAACCCTACAGTCCCAACTCCAAGAAAGGGGTTTGCTTATTTATTCAGTAATTTGAGAGCCTAGTATGTGAAGAAACTATGAATCTGACGCAGCCATGGTCATCAAAGGGCTTACAGTCCTGTTAGAAATCCGAACTCTAATCCACTTTTTTTTTTTACAGATGAAAAAACTCAGGTACAGAGAAGTGCCTTGCTCAAGGTCATGCAGCTAAATAGCACCAGAGGTGAGACCAGAAGCTGTCTTTCCACAACTCTCAGTTCAGAACTCTTTCCAATGGTCACGCATTCTTGTGAGCACATTTCAGCTTCTATTTGGGACTCTACCCGGTTTTCATTACCTTTCCTTCTTTCTACCCACCGGCTACCCTGCTCCCAAACCTGGAGGCTAGGGTTCAGAAAAGAAAAAGATAAGCCCTTAAGAAAAAGTCACACACTGGGTATTTTGGACCTTCCACTGCAAGAAAAAGAAACGTTACTCTTTACCTCCCGTGTTAACTCTTTCAGCAAGACTGAGACAGTTTAAAAAAAAAAAATGGCAAAGTGGTCTCACTTAGGACCGAAGGGGTGGAGTCCCCGCCCCCTGGTGCTGCACCAGTACCACCAGCAGCAGCAGCAGCAGCAGCTGCTGCTGCAGCAGCAGCGAAGAGAGGATAGGGAGCCACCTGTCAGGGCTGTGGGGGGGGGGGGGCGCGGCGGCGGCGATCAGGGCCTCTAAGGCCTAGAGACCCGAGGGTGTGTGAAGCTGAGCGCACGCTTAGAGCAAACAGCTCGCAAGAGAGGTGATCGTCTGACTTCTGGGAGATGACAGCCAGAGGGAGGGAAAGGTAGTCACAGAACCGAGGTAGAGCTACGGAAAGTGGAGGATCCTGGAGGTGACTGCAAGGAGAGGACGCAACCGCAAGGGTCGGCAAAAGCGGAGCTGGCTGCCTCTGTGGGGACAACGCCCGGCAGGCTGGCCATTGGGAGCCAAGGCAACCCGGCGGCGCTGCGGGGCGGACGTGCCATGTCTCGAGAGCGCCCCCAGCGCACCGACATCCCCCGCAACCTGAGCTTCATTGCCGCACTGACGGAGCGTGCCTACTACCGCAGTCAGCGGCCCAGCCTGGAGGAGGAGCCGGAGAAGGGGCCAGCAGAGGCCGGGACACGCCTCGGGGCCCGATCCCGCGCTCAAGCTTCCAGTCGGGGGCGCCGGGCTCGCTCTGCACCTGCGGGAGGCGGCAGGGCCCAGGTGCCCCGAAGCTGCAGTCCCGACACCCGCAAAAGAGTGCGTTTCGCCGACGCGTTGGGGCTAGAGCTAGCCGCCGTGCGCCGCTTCTGCCCCGGAGAGCTGCCCCGGGTGCCTCGCCACGTGCAAATCCAGCTACAGAGGGACGCCCTCCGCCACTTTGCACCTTGCCAGCCGCGTGCTCGCGGCCTCCAGGTAGGAAGCAGAGGCACGCCCCTTCCCTGGGACCTCCCCATCTCTGCCGCTGCAGGCGTGGGGGTGTCCATCTATCAAGGAATACCCATCTTAACCCTCAACCCAGGGCTTGCTCTTGCACTTTCCTTTTGTTGAGGGGCTCTAGGTTACTTTCGCAGTTCGGGCAGCACTGGGCCCAGACCCTGAGATACGGCTCAGATAGGTCCAGTTCCTTGCTTCGACCCCGCCCCCTGCCTGTGCTTTCAGGTGTACCGAACTCTGTCCTCCCTCTCCCTTTTTGGTTTCCAGGAGGCGCGCGCTGCCCTGGATCCTGCCAGCGAACCCGGCTTCGCTGCCCGTTTGCAAGCGCAGCGAATCTGCCTGGAACGCGCCGAGGCCGGCCCGCTGGGCGTGGCCGGGAGCGCGCGCGTGCTGGACTTGGCCTACGAGAAGCGGGTGAGCGTACGCTGGAGCTCAGACGGCTGGCGGAGCCAACGCGAGGCGCCCGCAGCCTACGCTGGCCCGGCCCCGCCCCCGCCACGCGCCGACCGCTTTGCTTTCCGTCTGCCCGCACCGCCGATTGGCGGAGCCCTGCTTTTCGCTTTGCGCTACCGCGTGACCGGCCAGGAGTTCTGGGACAACAACGAAGGCCGTGACTATTCCCTGCGTGGACCCGAGCACCCGGGCCGTGGCGGAATCCCGGAGCAGCAGAGCTGGATCCACTTTATCTGAGACGCCTGCGGCCGACTGCGAAATTACCAAAAGCACTCGCGGACTGGAGGAGCCCGAAGATTTGGGGAGGAGGAACGGGTGGAGGAACGGGAGAAACCGAGTGGAAGTGGGTGGGATCAATTAAGGTCGGGAAGCTAGGGTGGAAAACACCAGTTGAGTGTGAGTGAAAGAAACCAAGGCATAAGGGAAGGAGGCCGGGAAGGGCCTTGAAAGGATTAGAAACTAGCAAAAGAATGGGGGTGATGGTGACATTCTCTTTACGTGAGTGGGCACTGGGAGAAGGTTCATTGGGCTTAGTAGAAAGGTTAAGATACTTCTCCATTGAGGGGGTATTTTGTGTGAATTAGCAGTCCACCGCAGTTGACGTCATTTCGATTGCAGGTGCATCCCTTTTTGTTACCTAGCTTTGCCACCTCAGGTATCCAAGCCCTGCCCATCCTAGTTTTAGCTCTGCCATGATTGCCTTGCTAGAGTCCCAGGAACTTGGCCGTTGCTCCCTAGTCCCTGGCATTTTGACAAGATTTCATTGTCACCCCTTGTTGTCCCTGGCTTCATTCTCTGAGAACTGGCTGGGGAGTGATGGCAGGTAGCAATCAGAGATCCTTCCTCCGGACTCCTGGCAGCCCTTGGGAGTTAAAATGAAGGCAAAATCAACTCCAGGCTTATTCTCATAGCCAAATAATGCAGCGCCTAAAGGGTGTGTACACTCAGGGGCTTCCAGGGAAATGCCAAGTTTACCTTTTTGGGGTGCCTTCTAATGACCTTTAAGCACTTTATGGGTGGGACTTGTTAAGGGACAGTAAGTCACAAGAATCACTAGTCTGAATCTGCTTCAGGAGACAAGGAAGGCACTGGCTAGCTGTATAACTTAGGGCAGGTTCCTTCACCTCTCTGGGGCCCAGTTTCCTCTTGGGGAAATTGGATTTGCATTGGGTGATCTCTTATGACCCTTCTTGCCCTCTGTGAGTGGTGCAGTGCAGATTAGAAGCCACATTCTCCAACCTACAGTTGGAGTGCTACAGTTCAGAACACAGCAGTCCTCGTGTCTGGTTGGAGCTGAGGATAGGTCCTTCACAGCCCACAACCTCGGTATTCAGGCCTCTCTCAAACCACAACCCGTTCTCTGTCCTTGCTTTTTGCTCTGGTCCCAGCCTGGGTTCTCTGAGACAGCTTTGAAGAGGTGCATCTCTCTTGGAGAAAATGATGCTGGGGAGTCCCAAAGATGAAAGGAAACGATGTTGGGGTTTGTCTTGATAGTAAAGAATTATGGGTATAAGAAAACATTTCAAATCAAGAATCAAAGCAACTTGAAAATTAGCCCTGGCCGAGTGGCTCAATTGTTTAAGAGTATCGTCCTGTACACCAAAAGGTTGTGAGTTTAATTCCTGGTCAGAGCACAAACCTACCATGCAGGTTTGATTCCTGGCTGGGTCAAGTTCAAGAGGTCACCAATTGCTGTTTCTCATATCAATGTTTCTCCCTTTCTAAAATCAATAAACATATCCCTGGGTGAGGATTTTTTTTTTTTTTAAAGCTTGAAAATTGAATGGCACCAGAAGATGGCAATCTGCTCCATATCCTGAACGGGTGAAATGGGGAAGCTGGACTCACCCATTCACGTTCCTGTGTTTCTCCTGCAGATTAACCGCTGCCAGTTGTTTTTCTTTTCCTCTTACCCTGTTCCATAGCTCTTTGCTTTTCTTGTTTGTTGTCCCTCATCACTTATATTTTTAATTTAGAATGTGTAGTATTTACCTTCATTTTCTCGTATTTCCATTGTCCTTCATCTTTGTTTGTCTGCTATTCCTTCTTCCTCCTTTTCCCTCTTCTTTTTTACAAGACCATGGTTGATCCACTTTCCTCCCTCAGGCTCCTTCCTGACAGTCTTCTAGAAGGGAAAAGAGGGGAAAGCAGTTTCTGAGGGAGATGAACAAGGAGCTCCCAGGTAACCAGCACCCCACCCCCTTTCTGTTAGTGATTTCTCAAAGGAAAATTTTCAGAATCTCCTCTTCCTTAGTGAGTGAGAGAGAGTGCATGCACATATACCCATATACACTATTTGGAATACAGTATGGGTTTTTTTTACCATGCTTCTCCTGTCCAAAGCCTTAATCTTTTGAAGAAGGGTGGCTGAAAGAGAGGAACTCAGTCTTTCCTCAAACAATAAATGCCCGTATGAACACCATCCTTATGTGGTGAAGAAAACAATTTTGTGCATCTTAAGGATCACCTTCAGGTCAAAGTTCCAGTGGGGTGAAGAGAGAGACGACTGGAAGCCACCACGCCATGCATTTAATAGTTATCAATGAAGAGCCCAAGGAAGGATAATGGAGAGGGGGAGTGGATCGAAGTTCATCTCTTGCTTAATGTGTTTGTGTTACTGTTATGTTATATTAACAGTTGTAATAGCTCACATTTCTTTACTTAGCCACTAAAATCAGGTGTTTTGAATGCATTATAATCCTCAAAACCATATGAGTTGAGTAATATTATCCCTGTTGTAGAGATGAGGAAACAGCTCAGAAAAACTAAGTAATTTGTTCAAGATCACATAGCTAGTAAATGGCAGAGCTCGGATTGTGAACCCAGGAAGTCTCTAGGCCTGGGATGGCTATGAATGCAGCCCAACACAAAATCGTAAATTTACTTAAACCCTTTTTTTTGGCTCATCAGTTTTCATTAGTGTTTGTGTGTTTAATGTGTGGCCCAGAGACCCCAAAAGGTTGAACACCCCTGCTAGAGCCTCTGAGTAACCACGATATATTTGTTTCCTTAAAAACAAAATTAGCCCTGGCTGGTATGGCTCACTTGCTTGGAGCATCGTCCCCATGCCCTGAGAGGTCGCAGATTTGATTCTCGGGACATATACCTGAGTTGCAGTTTCAGTCCCTTGTCAGGGTGGGTATGGGAGGCAATCGATGGATGTTTCCCATTGGTGCTTCCCTCTCCCTCCTTCCCACCGCCCCCATACACGGCACGCGCGTGTGCACACACACACACACACACACACACACATATACATTCATCCCTTCTCTCTAAGATTAATGAATGTATCCATCCTCAGGTGAAGATTAAAAAAATAAAACAAAAACCTTGCCATATAGCCTGTCTAAGCAGGATTGGGTAGGGGGACAGTTTCTAATTGTATTCTAACTTCCCATCCTCCCAGTCTCCTGAACTAGCTTGGAGAAAGGAAAACACTGAGGGTCCCAAGCTTAATCTCCTCCCAGGAGCTACTGCTACCTCCTGTACCAACGTCCCAGTTCTGCAAGATCAGCAAGGGACCAAACCACCTGCCTGCTAGAGAACTTGAAACCCATTTGAACCCATACAGTTGGATTCCCTGGTCCTAGCCAGCCCTTCATGCCTATTGGTGTGCCACTCCCCTTAACACTCTCCCCACTAGCCTTGTTGTCTAAATTTTCTGCTACAGGGATCCCTGAGACAATTGCTGGATGCTCTGTGCTTGGGCCCTCTCTGAGAGCCCTGGTATTAGTGGATAAATGCAAGCTGATTGGGGGCAGGGAACCTTTCCCTGAAAGAAGTACTGTGGCTCAATTATGCCTCCACTCTCAGCTTTATAGTCCCAACACATGAGTCTCCTGGTTCTTTCCCTATAGAGATGCCCCAGGACCTGGAAGTAAGCTGATAGCCTAATCTGACTTAGGAAACACTAGGAGTGTTAGGCATTGTGGAGGGGACTCTCCTCTAATGGCTGATAACTATGAATGGGAGCCATTAACAGGATAACAAGTCAGCTGTGGACTGGGAAGTGCTGTAGGGAAACTATTAGCATAATCAGGGGCTTGGATCCTTGAAGCAACTCAGTAGGTACACTGTTGCCCCTTCCTCTCATCCACACCTCAGATGACTAATAGCCTTCCTTGTTCTTTGTTTGTTTTAGTGTACCTGAGCATTTCTCTTCATAACAAGCCCTAATTTCTCAACTTCCAATCTTAACTTTCACATGCTGTGCTTCTAATTCCTGTTTCTCTGGAGCTCTTCTGGATCCTTGCAATGCACAGGTCATAGAATCAGACCTGAAAAAAGACTTACCTTTAGAGATCATTGGGTCCAGGCTCCTGTACAGATAGGGATGTAGATCCAGCGATGAGAAGGGGCAGAGAATTTTCTTTAGTACAGCTCAAGACAGCTTAAACCCAGGCCTCCTAACCACAACTCATGTCCAGGCTATGAAACAGGCCTCTGCACAATCAGACCCACAGTTTTTTTGTTGTTGTTCCTGTATGTTTTTTGTTTATCTGAAAAAGTCATTTGACTTATTTTTTCTTATATATGATTTGTTTTTAATTAATTAGTTAATTAATTGTTCAATTAGTTTTCTGTCTTTTACTCCCATCCCAGCCCCTCCCCCCATGCTCCCCACCTCCCTCCCATTTCCACCCCCCTTAGTTTTTGTGCATGTGTCCTTTACACTAGTTCCCGTAAGTCAGTTTTTCATGGCAAGGGATATAACATTAAAAATGTTTCATTTTCTGCTACTACTTTCTATCCCTTTTCCTATCTAGCCATAAGGAGAAACAAGAGACTTAAGTTTTTTCTCTGTTCCCAGCCTTGGCACTTCGTTTGGTAATATTGGTAAAGAAAAGTAAAGTTGCTACAATGATTGAATAGTCCACCCATTGAATAGCTAACCTGGACAGGAAAGTTTGCTATGTGAATCCCCCTGCAAACCACTGTTATCAGGCCGTCCCAGAGCCTCCTCAGTCTCTTCATAGTGCAGCCCTATTCACCGGGCCCCAAACCCACTAGTAGCGCGCCTCACTGTTGGCTGCTTCTTGCACCAGCCTTCCCTTCCAGATAAAAGACCTCGTGTTTTAAATAAAGTTGAAATATAAAAAAAAATATCATCGGTTATTGAGAGATACTGTTCTTTGGTGGTGGGTTTTTTCTGGGGGCGGCGCTGAGGATGACAAGAGACTCAGAGGCAAGATCCTCCCCCATTCCCAATTTCTGATCATCTCATTTTTTTAAAAAGTCCTATTCCCTGCCTACTGAAGTCCTCCGGCTATGCAAAAGTTGGGTGGGAAGGCGTTGGGCCACCTGTGGGGAATTCCATCCTGAGTAGTCCTCCCAGGTGAGGATAAAATGAGTCATCTCAGATACAATCTGTGCCAGTGGGGAAGGGGGTGGTGATTTCCTGTAGTGGAGAATGCCCCCAGCCCTTCTCCAAAACAGCTTTTATTGAGATTGGTATGTGTAGGGGTGTCCAGCATGCAGGCACAGCTTATCAATGCCCTGAGGTTATAGTTATAGAAAACAGACATTATCTGTAGATGGCAACTGAAGAAACAGAAGATCTGCTTTAGGTCAGGGTCTGTTAGACATGCTGACGCCAGATGATTATTAAGGCTTGATTCATGAGGTTAGGAGTTCTGTCCTGCTTTGGATTTAGATATCTGATTCATGGCAACAGGGCTATACAAAGCAAGGTAGGCCTCAAAGAGTGTAATGCATTCTTCAGGCCTGATCTCACACTGGAACCCTTGGTACTAGTATCGGGTCATGCCTGCCTCCAGCATTCCCAACATTCCGGTCGAGACTTACAGGCCTCTTTCAAGGCCTTGGCCATGCAGGGCTATAGTCTCTGATACCCACAAAGTGGTCCCCAACAGCCACCCAGGTGTATGATACCAATACACTCCCACCATGATTTGGGGTAGGGAGCATAAAGGTAGGGAAAGTTATCAGGGCCCAGTACTTCAGTTCCCTGGCACCTAACAGCAGTTGCTGTTGCAGTTAAAGAGAACAGCTTGAGTATAAGTCCTGTGTTTCCCCTTGGATGAGGGCTATTCTTTCTTAAAGGGGCCATCTAAATTACATTATGCTCCCCAAGCACTGGAGAGAAGAACAAAGCAGTTTTCCCTATCAAGGGTAACCCTAAAGCCAAAGATGAGAAATATGACAGTAAGGAAAAGCAAGGACCTTTGTCTAATCCAGAATGGAGCAATAGAAATAGATATTAAAGGGAAGCATCCTTGAAAAGGGTCAACTTCCAACAGTATTGACTCCCACATCATCTGAATGATAGAAGAATCCAATTACGCACAAACTGAGACAATATTCACAGTAAGGGAGCCCTAGCCTGAGAAGAATCAGATGCCTCTTCATTACATCATAATAGCCAAGTTGCGATGTCACTGCAGAGTATCCACTGTTCAGTACTTACAGATGCTGAAGAGGAGTCAGCATGAGGAGCAGACATCCAAGGAGAGGTAAGTAGATGTTTTCCAGGGGTTATTGCCTACAGTTCCTCCATGGCCCAAATGTCTTTCCAGACTTCTTACATTTTAGTTTGGCAGTAAGTCAGTCTGAATCCTTTCTTCCACATACTCATTCATTTCAGCGTTTGCTATCCCAAACCCTCAGTATTTGCAGTTCCAGTGGGTCAGCCCTTAACTCTGGTATTTCCTGGGAGACAGGGCCCAGAATGTGGCAGGGTTCCTAAATAGGGCAGAAACTCACTCATTCCCATTAGTTAATCTCGGGGTAGATCCAACTTTTGGGGTTCCTTAAGCAAACAACTTTGGGGCTTTTTGATTAATTTTATATTATTTTTTAATCCTCACCTGAGGATATATTTATTGATTTTAGAGAGAAAGGAAAGGGGAGAGAGAGAAACATGGATCAGGTGCCTCCCACACATGCCCCAACCAGGGATCAAACTGGCAACCCAGGTGTGTGTCCTGTGTGGGGATCAAACCCGAAGACTTTTGGTGTATGGGAGGACACTCTAACCAAGCCACTTGACCAGGGCCTTTGGGGCTTTTTTAAAGGAAAATAAGTATGTTAGGCACAAAATAATATATTCTAGAATGAGAAAAGATGAACAAATTACAATTTTAAAAAAGCTAAGAAACAGCACAGTAACACAAACTTTAAAAATACATTTAAAAATGTATCTGCCTGGCAAACCTATTTTTTCCTACAGTTTTGTTTTTGGCTGAACACTCTTTAATCACATTTTCATATGATTGTATTTAATGTTTTCTATAAAGAGTGGAGAAATGTAATTGTCTTCTACATGATCACTTTTTAAAAAAGATTTTATTTTTAGACTGTGAGGAATGGAGGGAGAAAGATAGGGATATAAACATCAATGTGTGGTTTCCTCTTGTGAGCCCTGCACCAGGGAACCTGACCCACAACCCAGGCATGTGCCCTGACTGAGAATCAAACCAGCGACCTGATGGTTTGCAGGCCGGCTCCCATCTCAACCCACTGAGCCACACCAACCAGGGCTACATGATTCCTTTTTAAAATCGATAGCACAGGAATATTTCAGCACACCTTGTAAATGATAATGACATAATTTTTAAGGTTTTTGTCAGACTCGGAAAAAACTATCAAATTTCTTTGGTATATGTGGTATAAGATTTTGGAGCATTTCGAATGTGAAGTAACTGATGTCATATACAGTAAGCCCACTTAATGTGTTGATAGGTGCTGCAACTTTAAAGAAACAAGATATAATGAAACCAAGTTTACCATAGGCTTACTGATATATGTGTAAACAAGAGTTCAGTTCCAATGTCACCTCACCAATGTTACAACAAAATGATGTTGAACCACATGTTATTCAAGGACCTGATAGGCTCTAAATAGTTGACATTAGGGAGTATTCTGGGAAGCTACTGTATATATGTGTATTAGTTTTCTAGGGCTGCCTTAACAAAATACTAGACTGGTGGCTTAAACAACAGAAATTCTCTCCCAGCACTAGAAGCTAGAAGTCAGATCAAGGTGTCAGCAGAGCTGGTTTCATCTGGAGGTTCCTCTCTCCTTGGCTTATGGTAGCCATTCTCTTGCTATGTCTTCACATGGTCTTTCCTGTGTGTATGTCAGTGTCCAAATTTCCTATTATCGTAAGGACACCAGTCATGTTGGATTAGGACTCACCCTAAAACCTCATTTTAACTTAATTATTTCTTTATAGACCTTATCTCTAAAAACAGTTATATTCTTAGATTCTGGGAGTTAGGACTTTAATGTAAGAATTTTTTTGGAGGAGGACACAGTGCAACCCATAACACTATACCTACTATTTAATCATAGAAGTCATTGCAAATCACAGATGTGTACCTACAAAACCCAAGCTAAATGTATCCCTAATTCAATTTCCCTAGCTAATCCCCAAATGCCCAAGGCCCTTCTACTTATTCCTGACAGAATAGAGTGTGATGGAAGGAAAGTCAGAAAGGAAAGAGACATCGATCTTAACCAGTTGTGATGCCAGGAGGCACCCAGGAGGCCAAGGGTGGCCTCAGCCTGATAGCAGGGTCTCGGTTCGTGTCAGGGAACAAGAAAAAACTCAAGAGTGTGATGATTTAGCAAAGTATAGCAATTTTAGTAAAGTGATAGTACGTACTCAAGAAATGAGAGTGGGCAATCTCGGAGAATGGGATGACCCAGTGGGGTCTTGATAGGAGGTTTTCATTAAATGTGGGCAAGGATGGTCCTTGGTTTCTTGTCCCTCCTCTCCAGATATGGATTTTTTTTGTCCTCTCAATTATAGGAAATGGGGGAGGGGAAGCGGGGAAACAGCTGGTCAGTGAAGATGACATCTGCAATTTTCCAGCCAAGATGGAGAAGGGGAGGGAGGCTAGAATTTCGAGGCTTTTGCTCCCTGGGCTAACTTTCCTGCCTCAATTGCAGTTTAAGTATTTTTTTCAAATTTTACAAAAACCTATGACCATGTTAATGCATTGCTGGGGCTCCTCCAGTGCTTTTGGAAATGGTCTATGAAACTCATCTTCATTTTCTAGAGGGTAAATGTGCCTCTGGTCAGTTCTCCTAATGTCTGAGCCATTAGGGAGAGAGGATTTCTGCCAATCACGCGGAATTAACATTTCTGCATTGAGGAAGATAGAATGAATTCCCCCTCTTCAGCATTAGTCCCTGGAAGAACTGGGAGTGTTACGGCGTTGCTAAACGTGGGAGCTGTCCTTTTCCAAATTGTCAGCCTCTTTCTTTCTTTCATTCCCCCAATCCAGTCCACTCCATCTTCTAAAGCTTTAGAGTGAAATCCACAGAAAAGAGGGAGGTATCAGCCTGTACTCCAGAACTAAATATGTCTTTGATTCTGCTCAGAATGACTGAATCCTCCAGGGTCAGATACTAAATTACCACAGCCAGTTCCTGCCTGGCTTTCAAGCCAAACAAGTACAAATTCTTCCCAGTCAATTTAATCTAATTAAATTATTTTGGATTATGAGAGAATGACCTCTCCACTGCCTCCCTGCTGCTGCCCATTGCAGCCTTGTAATAGTCATGATTGAGAAGGTCCTGGTATATACCACTAGCCCTGGCTTAAACCCTGAGGGAGCAAAAACTTCAACTCTAAAGCTGAGTATATACAGGTGGGACCAAAGAAGGTGTACAGTTGTATGGAAAATAATACAATAATTAGACTTCCGCCAAGATGGAGGCGTAGGTGGAAGCACTGCACCTTCTTGCACAACCAAGTTTAAAAACAACAAAGTTTTAGCAACAAAAATGCAGCCAAACCACAGAAAATTGAACTATACGGAAGTCTGACAACAATGAACCCTTCAGCCAAACCGATAAGAGGGGCAGAGCCAGCAGCAGAGTAGGGTCGGGCAGGAAAGATCCACCAGACCAATCTGGGCGCGTGACCCAGGTGTGCCAGCAGGCGTGGGCAGATCCCAGGTGTGGAGTAGCAGCGGGTGGACCCACTGAGGGCGCAAGGTGGTGGACACACTGAGGGCTGACCGCAGTCACACATTCACGTGCAGATAAACCAGTGAAGGAGCGAGCAGTGAGACGGACCACTCAGGCCCCAGCGGTGGGAAGCAGCAGAGGGGACCGCTATTGTCCCTCTCTGACCCCGCCCCCACACACAGCATCACAAACCAGTGACCTGGGTGGCCTCTCTCTGACCCGCCCCCACGTACAGCATCACAAACCAGTGACCTGGGTGGCCCCGCCCTGATGAACATCTAAGGCTCAGCTCCTCATACATAACAGGCACAAACAGATCAAAACATGGCTCAAGAATAACTCAGAGCCCCAGAGCTGATAAATCTAAGTGACGAAGAAATAGCCAAACTTTCAGATGCACAGTTCAAAACACTGGTGATCAGGATGCTCACAGAACTGGTTGATTTTAGTCACAAATTAGAGGAACATATGAAAGCTAAACTAATTGAAATGAAGGGAAATGCACAGGAAAGCAATAGTAATGGAAAGGAAACTGGGACTCAAATCAAGGGAGTGGACCAGAAGGAGGAAAAAAATGACCAAACAGAAAAGGATGAAGAAACAAGAATTCAAAAAAAATTAGGAGAGGCTTAGGAACCTTCAGGACATCTTTAAATGTTCCAACATCCAAATTATAAGGGTACCAGAAGGGGAAAAGGAACAGCCATGAGTGGAAAACTTATCTGAACAAATAATGAAGAATATCCCCAATCTGGCAAAGGAATTAGACTTCCAGGAAATCCAGGAAGCTCAGAGAGTCCCAAAGAAGTTGGACCCAAGAAGGAACATACCAAGGCACATCATCATTACATTAGCCAAGATGAAAATGAAGGCGAGAATCCTAGAAGCAGCAAGAGATAAGGGGACAGTCACCTACAAAGGAGTTCCCCTCAGACTGTCAGCTGATTTCTCAAAAGTTTGAGACCTTATAGGCAAGAAGGGGCTGGAAAGAAGCATTCCAAGTCATGAAATCCAAAGACCTACATCCAAGATTGCTCTATCCAGCAAAGCTTTCATTTAGAATGGAAGGGCAGATAAAGTGCTTCTCAGATAAGGTCAAGGTCAAGAAGTTCATCATCACCAAGCCCTTATTATATGAAATGTTAAAGGGATTTATCTAAGAAAAAGAAGATAAAAAAGATGAACAGTGAAAGGACAGCAAACTCACAGTTATTAGCAACCACACCTGAAACAAAAGCAAACTAAGAGAACAGCTAGATCAGGAGCAGAACCATAGAAATGAAGATCACACGGAGGGTTAGCAACAGGGGAGTGAGAGAAGGAGAAGGGGGGAGAAGGCACAGAAAATAAGTAGCATAGACGGTAGGTAGAAAATAGGGGGGAGGGCAAGAATAGTATGGGAAATATAGAATCTAAAGAATTTGAGCCCTGGCTGGTGTAGTTCAGTGGATTGAGCATGGGCCTCTGAAGCAAAGGGTAACTGGTTCGATTCCCAGTCAGGGCACATGCCTGGGTTGCAGGCCAGGTCCCCAGCAGGGGGCATGTGGGAGGCAACCACACATTCATGTTTCTCTTCCACGCTTTCTCCTTCCCTTCCCCTCTCTCTAAAAAATAAATAAATAAAATATTTAAAAAAATAAAAATAAAAAAATAAAGAACTTGAGAAACGTGGACATAAACTAAAGGCATGGGGAATGGTGGGGGAGGGGTGTGCAGGGTGGAGGGGAATGAAGGGGGAAATAAAACAACTGTAATGGCATAATCAATAAAATATATTTAAAAATAATACAATAATTAATACACAATACAAGAATAAACTTTTGCCTTCTCACAGCTGTAGTCTTTCTCGCCCCAGTATGTCTTTCTGTTGCCCACTCCTATGTTTTTGCAATATTAATTTGAATGAAGGGCGTGGGGCTGGTTCTTAGGATGAGGTAATTACTAAACGTAATTAGGGAGAGCAGTGAGGCAGGGTCAAACACAGGGCCAGTGAAAGAAAATAGGGCTACTGAGTGACCTGAATAGGAAAGAGACTTTTTCAAAGACCAACATAAAATACAAGAATAACTACAAAAACTACTGTTCCCAAGTTTTAAAAGACTGAGCATCCTAAGCATAGAAACTTTTGGCCCAGAACTACAGAGCGTGTGGAGAGTCTATTTCATTGTCATCTGCTTTTTGACAGCGAAGACTAAGGCCCTTCGCTGCCTTAAATATGAGGCAGAGCTCCAGGTTTTCTTTGCTTCGCGCAAGGAGGTAACTTGGGATCTGGTAGGTCCCAATGAGGTGACCCCTCCAGCGGGTGCCAGCTGGACCCTGGAAGCAGAGAGAGTCACGCTCCTAGTATCCCGCCCCCCCCCCCACGTCTTTCTGGGCGGCATGACATTTATTTGATCCTTTTCAAGAACAAGTTCCCGGTTGCGCTAAGCGCTTCGTTCACGGTGACGCTGCTACCTGCGGTTGCCCAGTTTGCTGGAAAGGTGCGCTCGTGTATAAGGCCGTTAAAAGAATGCTCCCCTGGGGCAAACAGATGGGGACTAGTAGTTGTAGGCCTTCTAGGCAGTTCGGCAAAGTGTTGTGAATTCCGGGGGGGGGGGACCACCTGGACCAACTGGGCCTCCCGAAGTCTGAAGCTCGGGCGCCGCTAGGTCGAGGGGGGGCGGTATCCTGGCCGCGGAGGACATCTTCCCTGTCCCACGCACCCAATAGCCACCCCGGCTGAGGCCCACGCAGCCAATAACCGACTTCAGCTGAGACCCACGCAGCCAATAGCCAGCCCAGTGTGTTCCTCCGGCGCCCGCCTGCCCGGGTCCACGAATCCAGACTCGGGCCACCTAGGTACCGCCCCTGGATCCCGCCTTACCCCGCCGCCCCGCCTCCAACTCGCTGTGCCAGGCTGGGCTAGACCGTCGCGCTCTCGGGGCGGAAGGGGCAGTTGTGGTCCCGACCCTCCGTGCTAGTGGGCTCGCAGCAGGCCGCACCGGGCGGGAACCCCACTTCCATCCTGGAGGTCCCCTGCCCTTTCTCCCTCTTTTCGCCCGGCCCATGGTGCGAGTCTTGGAGCGGCCGCCCGGGCCGGACCCCGGTAAGTGATTCCCCAGCCCCTTCGACTTCCCCTCCCAGCCCCCCTATACGGTCTGCGACGTGCAACATGCGGAACCCTTTCCCTGCACGGTAGGTTAGAATGCGAGTTTCTAACTCGCTCGGTTCTTCTTTCTTTATCCTATGGACTTTTAGGTTCCCTGTTGTAACTGGGGGAGAGTGAGTGGGTGTGTAGGGAGGAGGGGAATGCCTGGGTTGGGACGCCCTTGGTGAGGAGAGGATTGAGATTTGCTTGCCCCCTGGGGCTCGTCGCCCCAAGTGCAGAAACTTTTGTTCTCTGACCCAGTTTGGAGCCTTCTAGACTGCCTGTGAAATGGAGGATAGGAGAAATGTTTCCTTCCAGGCCTCCCTCCTCCTTATGACTCTCTCCTGGCGACCTCAACACACGTACAGAAACCTGGCCTGCCTTCTGGGTAGCAGTGGTCTTCGAGAATGAAGTTTTAGGAGAAACTGGCCCTTCTGACCCGCTGCCCAGATGTATTCAGAAAACCAACCAAGAAAGTGAACCCCAAGTCCTCAGAGGTTCCTAGTGTTGCGTCCTAATCTGAGACTGAAAAACCTAAAGAATACTCAAGCTGAGACCTGTTTGGTAAGGTGGGCCCAAATCAGCAGATCTTTTATCACACGGACTTCCTGTTCACCATACCTTGAAGCCCTTTTATATGATTAGGATAGGTAGATGGCACTAGTTGGAAAAAAAAAATTTTAAAGCTGGTTAAAGTTGAGAGTATTAAAAATGATGCATACATATCTAAACATCACCATTAAAAGTATATTCATTTCACCAACCTGTTTGAGATAGTCCTCGTGTTTTCTTTGTGTAAGTCTGCTGATTGGAGTTCTCAACTGTCTTTCTAGAATAAATTACACAAGCAAATCTCAAATCTGGCTGCACCCTGAGGACTTTTTAAAACTGCTGATGCTGGGGCCCCAGTCCAGACTAATTAAGTCGAAATGGGGAGGGCGCCCCACTTTAAGTTTCCTAGGTAGTTCTAGTGTGGTCTGGTGTGGGGGCCAGTGCCTCTCATTATCTATGATTTTGAGGTTTGGTTTCTTTAAACTGGAGTGAGAACTTCAAACACTTGAAGCAACCCAAATGCAGAATTCTTTCTGAGATATTTTTAAGTCCCCTGCCCCTCCAGTCTTTTATAGTTGTCTTGCCAACTCTCAAGAATTTTTAAAATGTATACTCCTTTGTGTTGTCTACCTAAGCTTTTGATTTTTGTCTTCATTGGAACCATTTTTAATGCACTAATTTATCATAGGTTTACGTGGTGTTTAATTGTTATATAAATACAGAACAACACTGGCCATAAGCAGGTTTGGAAGCACACATAGCTGGCTCACATACACAGGGCATCAGAAGGAAGATGGTTTTGGCACACTAGTCAGTAGCTTACCAGCCTCTAGTATCCAATGAAGTGTGGGTATTGGTTTTATAATCCAGTGGTTCAGTGAAGCCAGGCTCCTGGCTCCTCCCTTTCAGTCTCTAACTATTGATAATGTCACCAATACCCAGTTATTTAAATTGTCTTGAGTCTTCCATCCACTTTTTCCATTCATTCACATCACGCTGTTTGTTCACATCAAGCACTTACCCTCATTGCCTTTATTAAGTTGGGAGAACATTAAACAGAGGTTCTTAAGCTGGACTTCTGAGCAGCCATTGCACCACCCGAGATTACATATATAACATGTAAGTGTGAATGTTTATTTGAGGGTGGAGGAGTAGTCATAACTTTGTGAGGGTCCATAATTTTTACCTCATTCATAAAGAGGTAAAAGTTATGGATTATTCCATTCATGATGTAAAAAGTTGAGAAGCACATAAATTGAGTTCACTAGAAGTCCTTTAAGGCCCTTAAAACTCTATCACCAAAACACATTGCAATTAGTACTTCAATTCTTCTCTGAATAAAGATTTAGGACATTTAGCAGGATCATATCTAGTCGTTCACTTGAACTGTCTCTCCTGTTTTAACCATGAGCCTAGGCTCAAGCCTAAAGTTCTGAACACCTTTTTTCCTAGGACTGTGTGAACACCCAGGCTGGAGATTCAGGGCAGCCCATTCTTTTCTGCCATCTGCTCAGGGGCCCGGAAAGTCCAAAAGGAAAAAGGGCTATATCCTGTGCGTTTTATTAGTGACTTTAAGTAGCAGTAGGGCATATCTGGCATATTTAATAAGGATACAAATTGAGTAATTATTCAGAATTAATAATCCCACCACCACTGCCACCTCTGCCTTGTAGGAGTCATTTTTGCAGGTTTGAGTCCCTTTTTTTCTCTTACCCTTTCCTTCTCCTTCCCTTTCCAAATGGAGGCACAGGTCACTGGAGAGTTGGCTTTTGGTTTTGATCACTGTGGGGTCTACCCTACTTGTTATTATTTGTGAGTCACTCTCTGGTTGTAGTTTCTTCCTATTTCAAAGCCAGCTATACAGTTATGGCTTAATTTAAGCCTCCATTCTGAATTAGAAGTCTTCCATAACTTGTGTTTTGCATAGTTGGAAAACAGTCAACATACACAGTACACCAATATGGTACTTGCATTACTGAATGTTCATTGACGTATCAGGAAGATGCCATGAGAATCTGAAGGAATGAAAACGAAATGCCTCCTCCTAGGCTTAGAGCTGCACCTGCCTTTTTCCCGTCTGGCAGTCCATCCTCATACTGGGCTGCTTTATTCCTTGTGCTACATCTGTCTCATATCCAAAGTGGTGGTGTAACCTTGGACAGGACACAGATAAGGTTAAGTAGATGTCAAATGCTGCAAGCATAAGTATTGCAGCTTAGGTTTGGTGGTGTTCCTGGAGGTTTAGACCTGACTGTGCAAGCATTTCCTCATAGGCCACTCCGCTGTGTCTGGGATGAACCTGAAGGGCAAAAGTAGAGCTCCCACACTGGCACTCCACCTGGTAATCAAAAAGGACTTAGGTCCAAATTATGGATTCAGTTCTCCTAAAGCAGTGATTTTCACACTTTAAAAAACAGCAAAATCCTTTCTGGATTTATATCCAACTTTCAAAATGTAAGAAGTATAAAACCACAGACACCCTCTTGTCTCCTCTTGTGCTTGTTAGAATTAGAACTCTGCCAAAGCAGATTGAAAACAGTGATTTTAAAGAGTTCAGTCTGTGTCTCACTTCCTCTATTGTCTAGGAGGAGCATTACCTTATATCAGAATCATCCCATGAGGCTGTAATAATAAAAGCTGGTATTTACTGAGCCTTTGTTCTAGCATAATGTCAAGTGAATTTTTTCTTAGTCATAAACTTGTGAAATAGGTCTTGTTATGATCTCCCTTTTTTCTAATGGGAGACTAAAGCTTAGAGGGGTTAAATAACTTTCCCAAGGACCAGCCCCACTGTAGGAAGTGGGGGCACTTTGCTTAATCTCTAATTTACTTCACTCCAGACTTCAATCCAGGCCCTGCCTACTCATGGTGTCTAGCACATAGTAGGTGCTCAGTAAAAATAAGTGACTTTATTAGATACCCAGCACTGTCTCCATTTGTTATACATGAGGAAACAGACTCTCACAAGTTTAGTAACTTTTGCCCAAGCTCATACAGCTGGTGGCAGAATTGGGGTTTAGACTGCAGATTGGCCATACTCAAGAATCAGATTTCTGCACACTGTGCCCTACTGCCTCCATTTACCTTCTTAGGTTCTCTTCAGTATATATTGCCTTTGGGAACTTCACGGCCTTTTCAGTTAAGATTTGCTTGTTGAAAGGGAATGGTGACACTTTAAAATGCTTCTACATTTTCTAATCATTATATCAAACTTTTTAGTATGCTGCTCTATTTGTAAATTTCTGGTCTTGGGGTTTTTCTCAGTTCATATGTAGCATTTACATAGGAATCCTGTCCCATCTTCAACACGTTAGGAGTAGTATCTGTAAATTCAAGTGAGATCCCTTTAAGGGTAAAGGCTAAAGTCTCAGACCCACACAGGCAGCTGAATTAAAATTCAGTCAACAGGATTATCCTGGGCAATAACTTGAGCAGGTATTTCAGGAATGAAGCATGGTCAGGGGCTATCTTTGCAGTCCCCACACCCAGAACCTGTGCTGCTCGGTGGTTTGCAGGACCTGGTTACAGTTTATGCATCTGCCCACCTGAGCCTGAGAAGAAAGCTGGCCTGAAGAGATGAGAGCTGCAGGCCTTCCGCCCCGAGTGGAGGGGCTTGTTAAATTCTGAGGTAGCTCTCTAGGCTCCCTGGAGAGAGACTGAGCAGTTGGAAGAGACAAAGGCTGGGGGAGGGGATAATCTTTGTTCAGAGGGTGATTTGGGGAAAGGGAACATTCCTCTCTAACCTCACAGGGGTGGGGTGGGGGCGGGGTAAACCCCATTTATTCCAGATACCTGACCTATCTCTCTCATCCTACTGAAAGAGAAAAACTAAAGCTCTGGGGTTTGGTTTTAGGACTTAAAGGTAAGTCTCTTCTCTCCCCAACACTCCAGCACCAAGAAGGGAAAGAAAAAGAGAGCTGGGGATTGGGCTGAGGAACAGTGCTGACTTAACCTTCTAGATTTTCCTATGTTGTATTCCCAGCTCATCTTCACATTCTAGAGATAAAAAATTAACTGTTAGGAGGTGACACATATGTATAAAGAGGAGATCACTGCTCCTTTTGTTTCTGTGGTTGAGCCTTCATTTTGTGACTTGTGTTCCATGAACTTGGTGAAATAAGTTTAACTTAGAAAGGTAAAGGCTCTATAAGGATGCTTTTCTTTCTTTCTTTTTTTTTTTTAGGGGTTTGTTTATTTATTTTTAGAGAGAGGGGAAGGGAGGGAGGAAGAGGGAGAGAAACATCAGTGTGTGAGATGTACACCATCACAACCCAGGCATGTGCTGTGACTGGGAATTGAACTGGGGACTTTTCAGTTTGCTGGGTAGTACTCAATCCACTGAACCACACCAGCCAGGGCCTTTCGTAACTTTATTTTTTACATTTTAACTTTTTAAAAATATATTTTATTGATTATACTATTATAGTTGTCCCATTTTTTTCTCCCTTTTATTCTTCTCCACTCTGTAATCCCCCCCCATCATTCCCCCACCTTAGTTCATGTCCATGGGTCATACATATAAGTTCTTTGGCTTCTTCATTTCCCATACCATCACAGGTGTGCACAAGTAACCAGGTTCTTAGTGATCAAGGACAAAGAATTGAACCGAACACAGAGTTTATAGCATAAAGAAAGAGAGAAGATTTATTAAGTGATAGTACACTCCACAGAACATGGGAGCGGGTCAAACTCTGAGCAGAGAATGGTCTCATGGGCTGGAGGGATTCTATTCTTACAGGGCGGAAGCTTCCTGGCTAGTTTTTTTTTTGGTGGGCTTCTATTGCGCATGTACAATAGTTGCCTTCCAAAGCTGCTGCACATGCGGTCTCCCATGATTTTTCTTGATTGGCTACTGGAGAAGGAGGTCCCACAGTGTTAATTTATTATAATGCTATTATAATGAAGCAGGGGTCGTGTAGGATCTTCTGCGAGGTGCATCCAGAAAGCAGGAACAACTGGTCTTAGAGGGTCTCTGTCCTGTATGGATGTCCTCCATCTTAGCCCTGGGGCACCACTGGAGTTTCCTCCTGACTACCTCCTGCCTCAATACTATTCTTAACCTCCCCCTGTCTATTTTGTGCCTACCAATTATGTTAAGATTTTATTTATTTATTTTTTTAGAGAGAAGGGAAGGGAAGGAAAAAAAGAGGGAGAGAAACACCAATGTGTGGTTGCCCCACTTACCCCCCCACTGGAGACCTAGCGTGGCCTACAACCCAGTCATATGCCGTGACTGGGAAATGAACCGGCAGTGGGCCGATGCTCAATCCACTGAGCCACAGCAGCCAGGGCCAATTATGCTTCTTATTCCCTGTACAGTTTCCCCCATTCTCCTCTCTTCCCTCTCTACTGATAGCACTGATAACATTCCATGTGATCTCCATTTCTATGAATCTGTTCTTTTCTAGTTTATTTGGTTTTTTTTTTTTCTTTTTTAAGACTTTAAAGAGTGGAGAAGGGGAGAGAGGGAGAGAAACATCAGTGTGTGGCTGCCTCTCACATGCTCCCCACTGGGGACTTGGTCTGTGCATGTGCCCTGACTGGGAATTGAACCAACGACCCTTTGGTTTGCAGCCTGTGCTCAATCCACTGAGCCATACCAGCCAGGACCCCTTTTATAGTTGTTTGCTTAGTTTGTTTTTGTTTTGTTAGATTCAGTTGTTGATAGTTGTGAGTTTGTTGTAATTTTACTATTCATATTTTTTATCTTTTTCTTAGATAAGTCCCTTTAACATTTCATATAATAAGGGCTTGGGGATGATAAACTCCTTGACCTTGACCTTATCTGAGAAGCACTTTATCTGCCTTTCCATTCTAAATGAAAGCTTTGCTGGATAGAGCAATCTTGGCTGTAGGTCTTTGGATTTCATGACTTGGAATACTTCTTTCCAGCCCCTTCTTGCCTATAAGATCTCTTTTGAGAAATCAGCTGACGTCTTATAGGCACTCCTTTGTAGGTAATTCTCTCCTTTTGTCTCGCTGCTTTTAAGATTCTTCTTATCTTTAATCTTGGCTAAAGTAATTATGATGTGCCTTGGTGTGTTCCTCCTTGGGTCCAACTTCTTTGGGATTCTCTGAGCTTCTCAGACTTCCCAGAAGGCTATTTCCTTTGCCAGATTGGGGAAGTTCTCCTTTATTATTTGTTCAAACAAGTTTTCCACTCGTGGCTGTTCCTCTTCCCCTTCTGATACCCCTATAATTCGGATGTTGGAACGTTTAAAGATGTCCTGGAGGTTCCTAAGCCTCTCCTCATTTTTTTTGAATTCTTATTTCTTTATTCTTTTCTGTTTGGTTGTTTCTTTCTTCCTTCTGGTCCACTTCATTGATTTGAGTTCCAGTTTCCTTCCCATCACTATTGGTTCCCTGTACATTTTCCTTTATTTCACTTAGTGTAGCCTTCATTTTTTCATCTAATTTGTGACCAAATTTAACCAGTTCTGTGAGCATCCTGATCACCAGTGTTTTGAACTGTGCATCTGATAGGTTGGCTATCTTTTTGTCACTTAGTTGTATTTTTTCTGGAACTTTGATTTGTTCTTTCATTTGGGCCATTTTTTGTTCGTTTGTTTTGGCACCCCTGTTACGTGCTAAGGGGTGCCCCAGGGCAGGGCAACCCAGTGGCTTGGTTGTGATGCTGTAGGTGGGGCAGGGGTCTGAGAGGGAACGACGGTGCTTGCTCTGCTCTCTGCTGCATTTCAGTCACTTCCCCTGCTTCTCACAGGCAAACTGGGTCCTTCTGGTGCCGATTCCCATGTGGTTAGGTTCGTGTACGTTCTAGGACCTCGTGGGTCTAACAAAATCTCCTGTGAGGTTGGGAGTTTCTCCCTGCACCTCATCGCCCACAGGTGTTTTCAGTTGGTGTTTTGAGGCTTTATTTTTCTGCACTGGGACCCTAGGTTGCATGGTCTGTTCACTCCCCAGTTTTGCCTGGTTTATCTGTGCATGAATGTGGGACCACCTGCCACCTTAGGCACCATGCTGCGCTCCACATTCCCCACCTCACTAGGTCTGCCAGCCTCCGCTTTGCCGTAAGTTCTGTCCACCTCCGCTGCCCTACTCCACCCCCTCTACCAGTCTGGTCTGCATGAATGTGTCCACTTTAACTCCTTGGTTGTTGAACTTCCATACAGTTCAATTTTCCATCAGTACTAGCTGTTTTTCATTTTTAAATTGTTGTCCTTCTTTTGGTTGTGTGAGGAAGCTGTGTCTACCTATGCCTCCATCTTGGCCGGAAGTCCTTCTTAACTTCTAAAGACAGATTTTCATCTAAGATAAAAGCACTTACTAGTCATGTGACTTTGGGTAATCAGGACTTTGGTTTTTTCATTCACATAGTGGGAATTTTAGCAGGCTCTGATGACCGATAGGGTTATGAAAGTAAATAAGAAACTGTTAGAGCACTTTAAAAACAAACAGCAGAGTACACATAGAAAGTTGATTGTTTTGGAATCCAGCATTTTGTTTGGTAGAAATTAACCAATGAGCCAAAAGAGGACGCCAGTGATTGAGCTGTTTCTCTTCTTGTTACAGCTGTCTCTGAAGGGCACAAATCAGAAAGCACCATGCCTCCTAACAAAGAGGCCAGCAGTCTTAACACCTCCCATGCGGGGCTCATCTGTCTCCCTCCAATCTCCGAGGACCTCCAGCTTGTGTGGACTCAAGCAGCCCAGACCAGTGAGCTGGATGGCAATGAACACCTGCTACAAACCTTCAGCTACTTCCCCTATCCCAGTCTAGCAGACATTGCCCTTCTCTGCCTACGCTATGGGCTGCAGATGGAGAAAGTCAAGACTTGGTTCATGGCCCAACGCCTCCGCTGTGGCATCAGCTGGTCATCTGAAGAAATAGAAGAGACGCGAGCACGAGTGGTTTATCACAGGGACCAACTTCATTTCAAATCCCTTCTCTCTTTTACTCATCATGCAGGGCGGCCCCCAGAGGAGGTGCCTTCTCCAGTGCCACCTCCAGAACAAGTTAGTCTTGGAATAGTGCCCCTGACTCTTAGTGAGCCTACCCAGACGAAAGGATTAAAGGCAGAGCCTGAGGACCCCTCAGAGCCACTGAGTCACCAGAAAGCAAAGGAGCCCCTGGTTGCACCTGGCAGTAGAGCACTCTCTCACCAGTCAGAATTTTGGCAGGATCTTCAAAGCAGTGGCCTCCCTAAGGATCAGACAGGCAGGGCTCCTGACCAGTCTCATGGCCTTGGTCCTGCTTCCTGGAACCACTCCACAGCTGTCCACCAGCCACATGCTCCAGATAAGCCCCCACCAACCTCATTATCTGCCAGTAGTTGTAAGCAGGGGTCAGCGTCTAATGTGACTCCTCCTTCTTCTACCTCTTCCTCTTTCCAGGTACAAGCTAATGGAACTACCGCCACCTCTACACCCCTCCAGCCGCTGGGCCGTCTCCCACAGCCACTGTCACCCAGTGAACAGGCTCTGCCGCCACATGTGGAGCCAGCCTGGCCCCAGAGGCTAAGGCCTAACTCAGTACTAGATAGGGTTGGCCCTGCCGAGTACCTTTCCCCAGATACCCAACGCCAGCGAAAGACCAAGCGCAAAACCAAAGAGCAGTTGGCTATCCTCAAATCGTTTTTTTTACAGTGTCAATGGGCACGCCGTGAGGATTACCATAAATTAGAACAGATCACTGGTTTACCTCGGCCTGAGATTATTCAGTGGTTTGGTGACACACGCTATGCCTTGAAGCATGGGCAACTAAAATGGTTTCGGGATAACGCAGTGCCCAGTGCCCCTAGTTTCCAGGACCCAGCAGTTCCCACACCATCGCCTTCAACTCGCTCCTTGAATGAATGGGCTGACACACCACCTCTGCCAATGCCCCCACCTCCACCAGATATACGGCCCTTGGAGAGGTACTGGGCAGCCCACCAACAGCTACGGGAAAGTGATATCCCTCAACTGAGTCAGGAGTCAAGGCTTAGCACCCAGCAAGTACTGGATTGGTTTGATTCTCGATTACCTGAGCCAGCTGAGGTGGTGGTTTGTCTGGATGAAGAGGAGGAAGAGGAGGAAGAAGAAGTACCAGAAGATGAGGATGAAGAGGAGGAGGAAGAGGATGACAGCGATGATGATGTGATTATACAGGACTGAATGGAGGGCTATAGAAGGGCAGTTTGTTACTAAAATAGAACCAACTTAGTAACTGTTTAAACAAAGAAACCACATTTTTAAAGTTACCTTGTAGCAAAGAACTGAAAAGCTTTGTGTTCTTGAGGTTGGGGGAAACCTGGATGTTATGAGGGTGGACCAGGGAGGATGAGCGTAAGGCACAAATGTGGGGGTTCAGTGGGCAAAAATCCAGACCTCTGGCCTCAGTGAAGACAGTGCTAAGGATCTGGCCCAGACTATGGGCTGGGTAAAGGCTCTTGCTCTCATCTGCTGTTTTTTTCCCTTAGTAGACTACAGAGAGGCCAGACCTTAGTTCCCTGTATATAGGAGGACTGGAAAAGAGGAGTGAAAATTTGAATTGATTCCAATGCACCCCCTAGTCCCGCTGTTTTTCTTGGAGTACAAGGCTGCCTTGCACCTGTCCTTTTCTCTCTGAGCACAACTCCAAGCGTAATGCAGCTGAAATCTCAGTATGTCCCAGTCTCACAAATATTTCAGCTCTTTTACCTGCTTCATTGTTGAATCACACAGGAAGCAGAATGTTTTCATTTCTGATACTGGGACCACTTTGCCTTGTACCTTTTTATCTCTTTCTAAAATCCTCATTCTCTTCATTATGTCTCAGGGTAAATCTTCCCCATGGAGCTTGTGAAAAAAAAAATAACTGGGTGGAGAATAATTTAGACTGGATATTTATTGAAGACGGGAATTAGGGGAGATGTCCTTTTAAAAAAAAGTAGAGTTAGGCTACAGAGATATAGAGGAGAGGGAATGGCCTCTGCTGCTCAGAGGACTGCGGGCAGGTTGCAGGTTTGGTTTTACAAGCCTGACACTCCCTCCTGCCTGACTTGACAGGGACTGATTTTTTGTTGTTTTGATGTTGGTTCAATTTGTATACAGAAAGAGACTTTCCCTCTCTTTATAGGAGCTGCCTTGGGGACAGGAGGACCATGGTCTTCAACAGAATTGAGTGCTGTTCAAGAATGTTTTTTATCAGTTGGGGTCAGATATAATGATAGCAGTGGGTTAACCATATAGAAGTAAGAGTGGAAGCCCCAAATTGCTAGAACAATAAAAAGGCCAAAAATAAAATTGTTTCTCTCTCCACTTGCCACTTGTATGGTTTAGAGATTAATGGAGCCAAAGTCATTAACATTCTGATATAGTATACATTTTATTTATTTTTGAAGCAGTAGGATGTATTGAGGTAAAGTAAAAGAACAGCGACCTTGAGGGGCAGTGTATCAGCATCACTAGGCAGATTGTTTCCTGTACCTGTACAGCACAGGCTCCTGTTCCGAAGGTGAGGTGTGTCTAGAAATGCCTTTAAAAATAAATTCAGAGTTCCAGAAATGGTAATGTGATCTTAGTTCAGCTACAAGGTCACTGCTAAGACCTAACTTATTTCTGGCAGATGCTATCTTCACATTTTTTCAGTATTTTTGCTTAAGGCCTGCCTGCTTGTGGCCTACCAATGTAATTCCTTATTTCTACCCCTTAGTGCCCAACGAAGAATAAATATTTGCCCTCAGTGGTAGTGTTCTTTGCCTGTTCCACCATTTTAGAGGTTGAAGTACCGATAGAGTTGCAGTAGCAATAAAAGGACTTCCTTTTTATTTTACTATCTATGTACTTCAGTAAGCTGAATGTCTATCTCCAACTATTATCAGACAAAAAGGAAAACCATGTTTAATAACTAGGCATAGAGGAAACAACAGGCAAACAAATAAAGACAGGGAACAGAATTGGCTATGAGAGAGTTTATGCAAAACTAAAAAATGAAATCCAGAAATAAAACATAGCTAATGAGTATATTACTCCCACCCCCCAAGGATGCCAAGGACTATTTTTACAGCCTTTGTCTCAAGTTGTAGAAATGAGACCACTCCATGTCGTGGGAGAAACATAAACATCCTCCTGAAGCACTAGCCTAAGAGGTGATGCAGGGTGTATGTGGTAAAGATTGACAGCGCACAGTGAAACTGGGAAACGAGGCAGGGGTGCATTTTCTAAGGCCATTGTGCCTGATGGGACTGGCTGCTACGTTCTGTTCTTCAGCAGTATGTATAGACCAGACCTCGGAGATGATCTATCTGGGCGTGGTCCATGGGTCTCTCCCCGTGGCTAATCCCATCTGCCTTTGTTGGTAGAGAGTCTACAGCAGAAAAGAGAAGGCATGCTTGGGTGTTACAACCAAAAAGGCAAGCAAGGCCCTCTCAAGCCATTTTATGAAATTTATCAGGACAGCAAACCACCACTATTGCTTTTGCATAGTTTTCTCCACTGCATGAAAATTAACTTTTCCAAACTAAGATTTGAGACGTCTCATGCAGGGGTCTCTAGCCGCCAGGCTGCGGAGAAGTACAGATTGGGTCTGTTAGGAACCAGGCCCGCACAGCAGGAGGTGAGCTTGAATGTAATGCACTTGAATCATCCAGAAACCATTCCCCACCAACCTCATCTGTGGGGAAATTGTCTTCCAGGAAACCAGTCCCTGGTACCAAAAAAGTTGGGACCACTGATCTAATGTATCAAAGGCTTCGTTGCTACTTAGGAAACTGACATTGCAGTGGTTTCTGGTGATAGTAAGATAGACCAAGAAATCAAACTCTTTTGGAATGCCTGGAAATACTACCACACCCACAGATGATTCCCAGGGAGGTAGAATTCTTGTGCTTCTGGGGAGGTGGCACTTTCTTCAATGACTTTTTTTTTTTAAACTTTGTTAATGGAAATTTTTAATAAATACCCCGAAGTAGAATAGTATAATGAACTCACATGTACTCATCACCCAATTTCAACAGATAACTCAGGCCAGCTTTTCATTTCTACTCTCTACCCCTCTCCACTAGATAATAGCAAAACTAAGAAATGAAATCCAGAAATAAAACATAGTTATTGAGTATATTACTTCCAGCCTACCAAAGGATCCAAAGGACCATTTTTACTTCTGTTTCATGTACAAATGATACATCTCCGTGTCTTGTGGGAGAAGTGTAAACATCTTCCTGAAGTGCTAGTCTAATAAGGTAACAGACAAAAGCAAAACCCAGATAATTTAACTTCCTATCCCTTAATATTTTAGTATGTATCTACAAAAGATTGTTTAAAAAAAATAACACAATAGCAGTATGCCTACCAAAACTCTTCTTTAATATCAAGTGTCCAACAGATATTCAGTTCTCCTCAACTTCATCTTTGCAGCTGGTTTCTATGTCTCTAAAGTCTTTCCTCATCTGTAGGTTATCCTCTCCATTTGTGAGGATCTTAGAACAGGAGGTAATTTTGCAGTTTTGCCTCTTAGGGCATAGACCCTAATTTCTTGCTGATGGAAATAAAAGGAACTTTGGAATATGAGAGCAAAATATTTATCTACCTTAATATATCCCTGGGGTCACCAGGAGCTTGGCTAAGAAAAATGGCTTAAATAGACTCACCCAAAGCCACGAAAGTTAACTCAAAAGGCAAGCCTGGACTTTGCATTGAATAGAGCTCCTTCCAAACCTCTTTCTATTACCTTGACCTTTCCCCCTTGTTGCCTGGATTCAGAATCATGGTCCTATAAATTTGCAAAACAATATTCTGGCTATCTCAGGAGACATAAACATGGGTTTTCTTAGTTCCAGCAGTACCTCTATGCAAAAGCTATATTCCATTGAGAATACTTTCTTGAATGTGGAACTTGGGGATGTCAGTTGTATCCCACTTAGCTCTCTCTGGCCAAGACCTCTCAGTTTAAAACCTTTCAGTACTACATGACCCAATTTTTAAAAAAGATTTTATTTTTAGAGAGAGGGAAAGGGAGGAGGAGAGAGAAACACCAATGTGTGGTTGTCTCTGTCATGCCCCCTACTGGGGACCAGGCCTATAACCCAGGTATGTGTCCTGCCTGACTGGGAATCAAACCAGTGACCTTTCAGTTCACAGGCCCTCGCTCATTTCACTGAGCTACACCAGCCAGGGCATGACCTAATTTTTAAACCCCAAACCAGGAAGCTAATCTGATGGTGGGATAGAATCTTTGAAACAGACCATTATGGAAAATTGTATACATATGGTCACCACATTTGAAACCCATGTCATTCTCCACTGGTTACATTCCATCACCTTAACGAGAGACCAGAATGAGGCATTCGGTGTGCAGGCCTAACCGTGTGAGTTTTTTGTATGCAGACAATTAGGCTAGCCAGAGCTCACCTGCAGGACTGGTACCTGGAATCCAGGAAGACTTTCTAGTGGAGCTCTACTCTCCCTCTGACCTGAAGGACAGAATGGAATGGTAAAAGATGAACTGCCTCAGGCAGTTCCTTGGTAGTGTTACTTGTGGATCAGGGTAGTTCTTAATCCACAGAACACTTCTCGGAAAGGAAAAGACTTAGCAATTAATTTAAAAGGAGGTTCATAAAGTTCACTCTTCTGTGAGGATGGGGTGGGGACAGAAAGATTTGACTTTATGAGTAAAAAGATATAGAAACAATATGAAGATTTTGGTGAGCCACAGGATGACAGCCCCTTATCACGAGACTGGTAGCAAAGGTGCCTTTTAGAAAATAGGATACTGGCTTTATCATTCTCATCTAGGACTCAGCTCCTAGCAATATTCAAACAGGGATCTCAAAAGAAAAAAAAAAAAAGCCAATTTAATTCTACAGGTGACCTGGCTTCATAGCACAACTTAACTGGTGACAGGATGAGTGCTATTTAGGTGAAATTCTAAGCCTCCCCTCAATGTGAAGGAAGTGGGGTAACTTAAAGAATATTAAGAAGTCAAACTGGAGACCATGCTCTTTTGGGGGGAACTCTAACTTCTTTTTCCCTTGAAAATCTTCATTTTATGGTATATGCATCAGTGGTCGAAGCTACAGTCCTTTGGGAACATTATTTACCTGAATTGTTGGGGGTGAGTATTTGTGTGTGGCCCAAATCTCCACCATTTAGGGATGGCCTGAAAGAAAAAATCCCCAGTCCAGAGGAGGCAGATGAAGTTCTACGGGGAGGAAACAAAAGTATTACCAGAGAAAAGGAAAGGTAAAGGTAAAAAGCATATGTAAAAGGAAGAACCTGTCCATTTAGGCCAGAGACTCTTATTGCAACTGAGAATAAAATTAAGTAACTCAGGTGTACATTAGACACAGTGCTGTTCAAACTTTGCTTTTGTGTACAAGGTAGATTATAAACCTCAGTGGTCCAGGTCAGTGGAGAAGTAACCCCAGGGCTGCTGGCAGAGTGTCAGTGTGAAAAGATCCGAAGTGAAAGGAAGCATAGTGTTACTCACCTATAAGATAGGCTGTGAGTAGAAGCTGGTGAAGGGGTTTCTAGAAAGCATAAAAAGGAGCCTGTGAGACAATCCATGAACTGCAGAAGAGATTCAGGTATACTCAGGGCCAGAGCAAAGGAACTGGGGTCAAAGATTTTCAGCATGTATGTCATAGAACCAACTTTTGGTCTTGCTGATTTCCTCTACTGTTTTTCTACTTTCTAGTTCATTAAGTTCTGTTCTAATCTTTGGTTCTTTGAAATGATCGACAGAACTGATTAATATTTAGCCAGGTTGTCCAAGAGCAGGGGAGTCGGGGGTGGAGGGAGTAGAGAAAGACTCAATGAAAATCAGGAATGAAAGAAGGAATATTACTACTAAACTACCAGAAATAAATTGCCTAGAATCTTAGAATCTACAGTTTTCAAAGAGGTAAGTATAAAGGAATTGGGGATAGACTGGTAAAGTTCAAAAATGGTCATCCAGAAAGATACTTGTAAATTTCAAGATTGCCTCTTAGGAAAGAAAGGGAAATCTCTGGTAAGTATTCACTATGGAGTGGCTAAATGCCCTGGAAAATAGCAATAACAGTAATAGTTCTAAGGGGGAAGAAACAAGAAATTAAGTGGGTGGAACCAAAATATTTCCTCACTGGAATATTTGTATGTTTAATACACAGTAAATAAGTCATATACCGTTTAGGCTAACAAAGTCAGCATCTAGTTAACCTTCCTTTTAAACCTGACTTCTACTGCCATCTTGTGGCAATTTAAAAAATCCAAGTCAATTATTTTACTTGTTAACTAACTAGAAGAGTTTTTCAATGACTTTCAAGCATTCCTTATTTCATTCTTACCAGTTTGAGAACAGAAATATCATTATTTGAAAAGTATTAATATATGTCTGGATATCTGGAATCACTGGACCAAAGTAAAATGGCATTATATCGTGCACAGAAAACCAGAAACTGCTGGTGCATGCACAAAATATTTTGTTTCTGACACTTTTTTTTTCTTCCCTCTCACCAGTATAAGAGTCTCTGGGAGTGCTCCTTCCCTGAAAGCCTCTGGCTTCCTGATGAACAAATAATAAACATCAATTAATAAATATATTCTGATTTTCTGGCTTCCATATTCCTTGCTATTTCTCTATATCTACACATTGAAGCACATTTTGTTCTCCCAGAAGGTATACTTTACACTTTACTACTTTTTAAAGAGACTTTTTTAAAGGTTTTATTTATTTATTTTTAGAAAGAGGGGAAAGAGAGGGAGACAAACATCAATGTTCATGAAATATATTGATTGGTTGCCTCTCACACACCCCCTACTGGGGACCTGGCCCACAACCCAGGCATGTGCCCTGACCATGAATCGAACCAGTGGTCCTTCAGGTCACAGGCTGGGACTCAATTCACTGAGCCATACCAGCCAGGGTCACTTTACTACTTCTGAAATAAATATGACATATTCTATTAGTTTAGTCCTTGAACACTTCCACTATTTCACCCCATTCATTCTCTGTCAGCTTCCAACATCAGGTATGTAACACCAAAAAGAAAAGTTAGTTCTAATTGGCATCAGATAATTTTATGCCAATTAGTTTAATATTCTTGCCTTAAATCTTTGCTTACATTTAGCACTAGAAATCTCAACCAGGAAAGAGAAGTGAACTATTACTTACTTGTCCTATGCTACTAAAGCCAGCCATTCTAGAGGGGATAGACTCCACTGAGGAGGACCGACTGTATAAGGTGAGACAAAAAGAGAACAAGCAAGCAAACCTGGTGTTAAACTTTTACATAGACCTAGTAAAGTCTCCTTAGTCCCTCTCTCAGCGATATGTAGGTATTTCTCTCCTCTTCCAACTTTTGCCAACAGTTTTAGCGTTGTTATGCAGGCTTCCTACTCACCTGACCACTTGGCTGCTATGCTGAGAACTGGGTCGTGGAGCAACTGAGAAAGAAGTGCAGAGTGGAAAATTGCCATCAACAGTGTGCTCTTGTTTAGCTAATCTGTTGCAAGTAGGTATCTGGTGTGTGATCTTCCCATGTCATACATAGGATTAGGAAAATCATATTATTATAGTCTCTGAGAGGAAACCATTTTCATATATGAAAAGGATATTTATTCATCTTACACAGATATTTGGGAAGAAAAATGTTCTCTACCTGACTGTGATGGGGAAGTAATGCCCACTGGTCGAGGTGTGGTTGACCTGCAAGGAAGACAAAAACAAAAGAGGCCGCTCTAATATCTCTAGGTAGAAGTTAAGTTTCACATTAAAGGATAAATCAGATAATTGTTTTTATAAATAATAGCTTCTTCTCTGAGAACAAATTGCTTATTATCATGTATTAACAGGAATTATCCCAAAATATGGAGGCAAAGTTTCCATAGGGGACTCCTTGCCTGTTCAACTAACTCCCTAAATGAAAACTTCTCCCCTTCTTTATTGCCCATAATAGAAGTTTTGAAGTCCTCCCTCTTTCGTTCCTTGGAGCCTTAACAAGCACTTTCAATTTACATGTATCTATCCATCTGTCCTTTCATACATCTGCCACTCCTCACTCTCTCCATCCTTCATCCATTTATATCCAACAAGCATTTATTAAGTGCTCATACATTCTAGGTACTGAGGTCACAAAGATAACTAGAATATAGTTCCTGTTTCTGAGAGGCTCACAGGCTAGTGGGAGAGGCAAAAAATAAATCAGTGTTAAAGTGTTATAATGGGCATGTCTTCTTTTAATTCACCAAATATCGAGCTAACATGAAACATATTTAACAATTGGCCCTGGCTAGTGTGGCTCAGTGGGTTGAGCACCAGCCTGGGAACCAAAGAGTCACCGGTTCGATTCCTAGTCAGGGCACTTGCCTGGGTTGTGGGCCAAGTCCCCAGTAGGGGGTGGGTGTGTGAAGCAACCACACATTGATGTTTCTCTCCCTTTCTCCCTCCCTTCCACTCTCTCTGAAAATAAATAAATAGGATCTTTCTTTTTTAAAAGAAAAATAACAATTAGTAGGTTACAAACATTACCAATTAGAATAATTGGTGATGTATACCCAGCACTTATAAACAGTGGTCACTTAATGAATATTTATTGCATAAATGGATAATAAAATATCTACTCTGCTTAATGAAGTCTTGACAGAAGAAATGACATGTGAATTGAATTCTGAAGGATGAGTAGGATTTCATAAGGTAACAGTCAAGGGTAAGCATTACATTCAAGATTTTACTTCAGCACTTTTCAGTGAGTAACTTTTTCTGGGAGAAGTAAAAAAGTTCATCAACCATTTCCTTCACCTCAGAGCTCACACAAGAGTTACAACCAAGAGTCAGGTAAGAACAGAAATTTTCAAATAGGGCTAGAATGGGGCTGGATAAAACTGACCTGCTTCCTTGGTACCAACTTGGAGATTCCTGTAAGTGAAAAAAAAAATGGGAGTGAAGGAAGCTGCAGCTCAAGGATCCTAAGCTGCAATGTCTTCTGGTTGTGGTTGCTAAATCAGACTTCCAGTAGGAGAGAAAAATAGCAGCAGTGTTTCCGTTAGAAATTTTTAGCTTGAGGGGGGAATAAAATTTTAGTTCCTCATTATAAAAACACATTGGGAATCCCACAGACTGATATACATGGGGTAACGGGGGAGAGAAAGAAAAATGACAGGATTACAATGTGCTAGAATAGTTACAGGAGCAGGGTCAAGGGGAACATTACGTAAGTACAAAGAATGTTCTCAGGAAGAGAGAAATGTCTAGGAGGGACAATCTGAGGGACAGGAAGGGCCCAAGGTGTCTTAGGAGTCTTGAAGAAAAATCTTAAGTTACAACAGATGTCTCTTCTATAAGAGCGCTTTCCAAATGGTATGTCATGACTCGCTGATGTTCAAGAATGGGCTACCAGTGTGCTATATGTTGACCCTTTCAGCCCTCCAAGATGTTCTCATCCATTTACTACAGTATGCACATATATAATCACTTATATGTGAAAAGGTTCTGAAATACTATTCTATTCAGTATGCTATTCAGATGGGAAAAGTAGGAGGAAATGTAATAAGGAAAATCTATTTCACTCACCTTTAGGATGGCTAGAAATTTCTTTAGTTCTTCATTTTCTTTCCTTAAGACTGACAGCTCTCTAGGAAAGAGATGAAAACAATCAGCTCTAGTTGGTTAGCGGGATAAAAAAAACCCTGATTTTGATTATTATCTAGTTAATGCTTATGGAGAGATGCCTGCCAACCACTATTCATGGTATTTCAGAGATCCAGTGATGCGGGGAGACAATGGCAGGGTTTTTGATGATGAGAATTGGACAAAGTAAACAATCGCTTGGTATGATTTCAGAGGAGTTTACATAGAGTCCCATTTCCTCTCCACATATACCCATGGTCTGCTGATATCTGAGAATTTCCATCAAGGATTCCATCTTTTAGCTTATGATTTCCAAAATATACCCTCCTACAGGTAACATTTCAAATGCTATCTCTTATCTGTATTACTGTGAAAAAGCTAAGTCCGATTTCTCTGAAGAAGCAGTTTTTGATCAGGGGAGATAGAAGAGGAAAGCTGTAAAATGAGGAGTGTCACTTGAGGAAAGAAAGAGAAAAACAGAGTGGAGATTGAGGGGGCCAAAAATTATGTACCTGATCTGCCCAAGATAAACAAACATAAACACACAGGGAGCAATGTTCAGGCTTTGCGACCATAAGGAATTAAGGGCTATAGCATCTCTTAAAGAAGAAAGCTCTCTGGTGACTGGTTTGTCACTTACTTGTTCTGGCTGGTCACTGTTTGCTGCGCCTCCTGCATGGCTGCTTCTAATGTTGTAACTCTGTGCTTGTAAAAGGCAATGAGGAGATCTGTTTGTTTCTTCTGGAAACTCCACACCTACAAAGAAAAATGAGACCTTGGACAAACATTCCCATAACTCCTTTTCCCTTACTCTGGCAACAAAGGGACACTCATCAACTCATACTTTATTACTAATCATTTTCTTCTGGAGCATCTGGCCTAAATCATGACTCCCCAGAACTAGACAGCTCAGCACTAGAGAAAACAAAAGCTTTTCATTTCTGGGACAATGGCTTCCTAACATCTTAACAAGAATATTCTGACATAGTAGAAGGACCCTTTAAAAATATAATCTTTCATCGCTTCTCAGCCTTTTGGCTAAGATCAAGTGTAGCATCTGTTCTTATCAGTTTAAAAATATAATCTTTCATCTTGAGCAAGAAGAGTGATACCCAAAAAACTTTTTCAAGCTTAGAATGGGTTCTGATCTGACTTATCAGATTAGTTTGCACTTGACTTATAAGTTTGGACTCAACTTCCACATTCCAGAGTACTGGTAGCCAGTTTAATTTCCCTAAGATACTCATACACAGTCCCTTGCAGGCTGCTTATGCTGTTACAGTAAAGGGCAAAGGGGCATGGGAAGGGTTTACCTATCCCTGAATTTTATTTCTGGGCATGAACAAATAATTTTATCTTTTGCTTTACTTAACCATTTGATATACCGGTGTGCTTATCATGGGTTTACTGAATCAGATCAAAAGTTAAGATTTAGAAAGAGTTTTAGCTTTGTCAGTCTCAACTTTTTATTTTTATTTTTATTTTTTAAAATATTTTATTTATTTATCTTTAGAGGGGAAGGGGAGGAAAGAGGGAGAGAAATATCAATGTATGATTGCCTCTCATGCATCCCCTGCTGGGAACTGGCCTGCAACCCAGGTATGTGCCCTGACTGGGAATCAAACTGCAATCATCTGGTTTGCAGGCCCACTCGCAATCCACTGACCTATTCCAGCCAGAGCTACTTTTTATTTTTATTTTAAAAAAGATGTTATTTATTTATTTTTAGACAAGAGGGGAGGCGAATGAGAAAGAGAGGGAGAGAAACATGAATGTGTGGTTGCCTCTTGTAGGGCTCCTACTGGGGACCTGGTCTGGAACTCAGGCATGTGCCCTGACTGGGAATCCAACTGGTGACCCTTTGGTTTGCAGGCTGGCACTCAATCCATTGAGCCACATCAGCCAGGGCATGGCTCTACTTTTTTTTTTATTGTTAAGTGATCTTTAATTGAAATATTTTCCTTTGTAGTTCTTTTTTTTTAAATTTTTTTATTGATTATGCTGTTACAGTTGTTCTATTCCCCCCCTTCATTCCCCTCCACCCTACCCCCCTATCCCCACCATTACCCCCCTTTAGTTTATGACCATGTGTCTCAAGTCCTTTAGATTCTATATTTCCCATGCTATTCTTGCCCCCTCCATCTATTTTCTATCTACTGTCTATGCTACTTATTTTCTGTACCTTCTCCCCCTCTCCTCCTCCCACTCCCCTGTTGCTAACCCTCCTTGAGATCTTCATTTCTATGTTTCCACTCCTGATCTAGCTGTCCTTTTAGTTTGCTTTCGTTTTAGGTGTGGTTGTTAATAACTGTGAGTTTGTTGTCCTTTCACTGTTCATGTTCCTTTAACTTCTTTTTCTTAGATAAGTCCCTTTAACATTTCATATAAGGGCTTGGTGATGATGAACTCCTTGAATTTGATCTTATCTGAGAAGCACCTTATCTGTCCTTCCATTCTAAATGAAAGCTTTGCTGGATAGAGCAATCTTGGTTGTAGGTCTTTGGATTTCATGACTTGGAATACCTCTTTCCAGCCCCTTCTTGCCTGTAAGGTCTCTTTTGAGAAATCTGCTGACAGTCTGATGGGGACTCCTTTGTAGGTGACTGTCCCCTTAGCTCTTGCTGCTTCTAGGATTCTCTCCTTCATTTTAATTTTGGCTAATGTAATGATGATGTGCCTTGGTGTGTTCCTTCTTGGGTCCAACTTCTTTGGTACTCTCTGAGCTTCCTGGATTTCCTGGAAGTCCACTTCCTTTGCCAGATTGGGGAAATTCTCCTTTATTATTTTTTCAAATAAGTTTTCCACTGGTGGCTGTGCCTTTCCCCCTTCTGGTACCCCTATAATTCGGATGTTGGAGCGTTTAAAGATGTCCTGGAGGTTCCTAAGACTCTCCTCATTTCTTTGAATTCTTGCTTCTTGACTCTTTTCTGTTTGGCCATTATTTGCTTTCTTCTGGTCCACTCCATTGATTTGAGTCCCAGTTTCCTTTTCATTGCTATTGGTGTCCTGTGCAATTCCATTCATTTCAATTAGTTTCGCCTTCATATATTTGTCTAATTTGTCGGTATAATCAACCAGTTCTGTGAGGATCCTGATGACCAGTGTTTTAAACTGTGCGTCTGAGAGTTTTGCTATTTCTTCATCGCTTAGATCTATGGGCTCTAGGGCTTTGAGAACTTGTGACATTTTTAGTCTGTTCTGGCCCTTTAAGTGTGAGAAGCGGCACCTTGGACTCCCAGGTCGCTGGGTTGTAACGCTGTATGTGGGGGCATGGTCAGAGCGGGGAAATGGTGGCGCCCTCTACTGCCGCTTGATGCGGGGACCGCCGGGCCTGGTCCAACCGCCCACTCCCTCGCCTGTCCGCTCGCGCACAAATGGGCGACCACAGTCAACACGCAGCACCGCTTCCCTGCTGTCTCCTCTGCGGTCGCTCGCCTGGTGGCTCGCTCTGTCGCTCACTAGGTCCAGCCCTGCGCCTGGATTCCGTGCGTCTGGATTCCGCGCCTGAGTCCGTCTGAACGAGTCCTCCTGTGCAACCCCTCACCAGCCGCTGGTTTCGCCCCTTACTGGTCAGGCTGAAGAATCTGTTGTTAACGGACTTCCAAAAAGTTCAATTTTCCATGTTCTGGCTGTGTTTTCTGTTGCTAATATTTAGTTGTCTCTAAACTTGGTTGTGTGAGAAGGTATGGCACATCCACCTATGCCTCCATCTTGGCAGAAGTGCCTTTGTAGTTCTTAACTAGCCGCGCACTCCACTTCACCATGGTTGATGTCATCTACAATGTCGTGAGGGTGGCAGCTATCGACACTGCAGCCCACAGAGTGGGCCGTCCCCATGGTCTCTTTAATGGTTCCAGAGAGTTCTCTAGTCAAAGATCCGTGCCGCATCTATTGGGCGATGTTGATGATCTCATTGAAAGTGATATTTCTACTGTACTTAATGTTTTTTTTTCCTTCTTCTTCTTTCTGTCTAGTGGTGGTTCTTTGAGGGCTTTGATGATCAGGGCAGAGGCAGAAGGCACTGCCTCAATCTGGGCCTATCTGTTCTGAATGGTCAGTTTCACTGTGATCCTCAGACCCTTCTGGTCACCAGTTGCTTTGGTGATGTTGTCACCAATCTTTTTTGGAGACAAGTCCAAGGGGCCAATCTTGGGAGCCAGGGTGGACGTGGCACGACTTCCCTGCGGGTGCATTTCAGGTAAACGACTTTGATCTTATTGGGGGTCAAACTTTGGAAGCAGGTGGAGCCATTTGGTGTCCATGAACCCGGGTTCAGGATGACCGAAGAAAGTTGCACTTTCGCCTCCTCCAGCTGAAAGCAGAAGAACTGGTTCTACTTTTTTTTTTTATTTAAATTTATTTATTTTTTTGAATTGATTATGCAGTTACAGTTGTTCTATTCCCCCCTTCATTCCCCTCCACCCTGCCCCCCCAACCCCACCATTACCCCCCTTTAGTTTATGTCCATGTGTCTCAAGTCCTTTAGGTTCTATATTTCCCATACTATTCTTGCCCCCCCCATCTATTTTCTATCTACTGTCTATGCTACTTGTTTTCTGTACCTTCTCCCCCCTCTCCTCCTCCCACTCCCCTGTTGCTAACCCTCCTTGAGATCTTCATTTCTATGTTTCCACTCCTGATCTAGCTGTCCTTTTAGTTTGCTTTCGTTTTAGGTGTGGTTGTTAATAACTGTGAGTTTGTTGTCCTTTCACTGTTCATGTTTCTTTAACTTCTTTTTCTTAGATAAGTCCCTTTAACATTTCATATAATAAGGGCTTGGTGATGATGAACTCCTTGAATTTGATCTTATCTGAGAAGCACCTTATCTGTCCTTCCATTCTAAATGAAAGTTTTGCTGGGTAGAGCAATCTTGGTTGTAGGTCTTTAGATTTCATGACGTGGAATATTTCTTTCCAGCCCCTTCTTGCCTGTAAGGTCTCTTTTGAGAAATCTGCTGACAGCCTGATGGGGACTCCTTTGTAGGTGATTGTCCCCTTACCTCTTGCTGCTTCCAGGATTCTTTCCTTCATTTTAATTTTGGCTAATGTAATTATGATATGCCTTGGTGTGTTCCTTCTTGAGTCCAACTTTTTTGGTACTCTCTGGGCTTCTTGGATTTCTTAGAAGTCTATTTCCTTTGCCAGATTGGGGAAATTTTCTTTTATTATTTGTTCAAATAGTTTTTCCACTGGTGGTTGTGTCTTTCCCCCTTCTGGTACCCCTATAATTCGGATATTGGAGCGTTTAAAGATGTCCTAGAGGTTCCTAAGCTTCTCCTCATTTTTCTGAATTCTTATTTCTTCATTCCTTTCTGTTTGATCATTTTTTTCTTCCTTCTGGTCCACTCCATTGATTTGAGTCCCAGTTTCCTTTTCATCTCTATGGGTTTCCTGTGGAATTCCATTCATTTCCCTTAATTTAGCCTTCATATGTTTCTCTAATTTGTGGCTATAATCCACCAGATCTATGAGGAAGCTGATGACCAGTGTTTTAAACTGTGCGTCTGAGAGTTTTGCTATTTCTTCATCATTTAGATTTATCTCTGGGGCTTTGAGTTCTCCCTGCGACATTTTTGGTCTGTTCTGGCCCTTTAAGTGGGAGAAGCGGCGCCTTGGAGTCCCAGGTTGCTGGGTTGTGACGCTTATGTGGGGGCGTGGTCAGAGCGGGGAAATGGCGCGCCGCCGCCGGTCCAATCGCTCACGCCCTCACTCGCCCGCAACCAGGCAACCACAGTCAACTCACTGCCACCGCCTCCC